AGACGACATAAGCAGTGTACTAAATCACTGAGAAGTAAAATATTTCCCGGTGACGAAAGTAAGATTGCATAATAATCAATGACCCAAAACGTTAAATTTGTTACCTTAGTTCGTTATCACTGAAGAGGCCTAACGAAATTAAACGATAACAACATAATATTAATAACAATAATGTTATTACTTGTTCAATACAGTTATTGAATGATTGATAATGCATTTAAATAAGAATTAACTCCAATTTTTCGGTCCCACTTGTCTTACGGGCCTCTCTGCTCGCCGTTTCCTGCTCACTGGTTTGCGGGCCCCCCTGCATTGCAGGCCCTGCGGGCCCTTCGGTTATGCCACTGGGTTGTAGGGCGGAAACTGGATTTTTCCCAGCCTTGTGACCAACTCCAATCTATTTCTTGTGGCCAAATACCGCATAATAAACACAAAAATTTAAAATCCTTGGACGAAAGTAAAATTTTGTCCGTATATGCGCTTGTTTTAGAGTATAGGATTTATCATCTTGTAAGTAAACAATAGGCCTAGGCTTATAAGTCTAACGTTAAGTGTTATTAGGCATAGTTTTATTTACTTTCCGTACATACATAGGCCTACTATGTGAATTTAGAAATTATATTATACATTTATCATGCAGACCTTAAAAAAACAGACAATTTAGTACACATTTTCTACGGCATTCGGTTATTGAGTTATTCAAGTGCTTAATACAAATACAGTAGGCCTACGTTGTATGTACCATGTTATCCTTATGTAGGGTAATTTAATTGCTGTAGATCGCTTGGATATGGAAATATTGGGATAACGTTTGCCAAATTTGTTTCATACTAAGTTGTTAACATTTCCAAAAAAATGGAGTTTGTCCTTTTGTATGTAAAATAAAAAAAATCAAATCAAACAAAACACTTACCTTTCTTGTATCAGTAAACCTAAGTACTCGTTAAACCAAATGCTATGTAATTAGGGAATATATCTGACGTGTTTATAGACATATTTTAGTGTGTAAATCTAATCAGGCCAACGGAAATTCGCCTAGTCTGCAGGTTTGTATAGCGGGGTTATATTTAAGTAACATAGCCTAATATTCAAATATCAATATTCAATATTCAAATATAATATTCAAACATGACTTTTTATAATTAAGATATACCATTCTGTGGTTGTATAATTTTAAGGTTTTTTATAATCCCCCAGTTTGATAATATGTAGTTGGCCTAATTTGATATTTTACTTGCCCTACTTATGTTAGCTTACAAATTTTAATGAAAAATAGTACAGTACTGTTAGAACCTTGATAACAAGTCCCTCACGAGGATTATTAGCGAATTTCCCATATAGGCCTAGGGAATAAGCTATTAATACGCTAGTACTCATGGTAAGACCTGGACCCGGGACCGTTTTACTTTTACTTTTTATACTAGAAATGTATATATATGTCTGTTAGCACGATATCTGGAGCAAAAATGATCCGATTTTGACAAAATTTGGTATAAACGTGTAAACCCACATTTATTCGAACAAGTTCGCGAACCAGCATGATAGGACTATGGGAACAAGGGTTTATTGGGGGTTTTATGGGGTAAAAATTGGTTTTTTTTCCATTTTTGACCCAAAAAACATAAAATTTAACAATTTATTTCCAAAACAAATAATAAAAAAGTGATAATAAATAACAAATAAATAAATAACAAATAAATAAATAACAAATAACAATAACAAATATTGAAGTGTTGTTATGCGCCTAATGGTTACGGAGAAAATTCCAAAAAATTGTAAATTTAAAATTCCCATGTTATTCTTATGGAGAATAAGTAAACTGTTGTAGTTTGCTTGTTTATGAACATATTTTGATCAAATTAAGAAAAACCATTTATTTATTACCGGTACTAAACTATTAACATTTGACAAAAAACACTTGTACCCTCCCTGTTGCAGCAAACATAAGTACTCGTTAAACTAATTCTATTTAAATAGGGAATAAATGTGATATTTTTAAAGAGTCATTTTAGTGTAAATCCAATCAGGCAAATGGAAATTCGCTTAGTCTGCAGGTTTACTGCGGCGGGGGTATTAAATAAGACTTGTCATCAAGGGTATTTGAAAACTATACTTCCTTTAAAGGTTCTACAGTAAACAGAAAAAAGCTTTACAGTAATTAATCTATACCTTAAGATAAAACAAATAACTTTTAACAATTAAGATTCATTAGAAGTAACACTACTCAAAAGAATAGAACAATTGGAACAAACATACTACTGTACAACGCTCATGAAAATGTACATTTGGTTGATCCACAGGTCACAGCCCTATGATTTTTTTTAGTTCCAGTTCCATATTCTTATATTTATAACTCACCCTTTTTGTAGGCAAGGGTTATCTTATCAATGATGGAACAGTTAGAGCTAGATTACTCCACTATCCTCTATATGAATGATCAAATGAATGATGATGAATGATTGATTTTTGTGCACTTCAGGTCTTAGTTCCAAAACCGTTCAAACTCTTGACAGTAAAATTAAAATTTTACAACGTTTTAGCAATTTAAAATATTATTTGACATACTCCCATTTAAAAAGTTGCTTGCTTTCAATACTTCTGTTCATAGTCTAAAGTAGCTCATTTCTCCCATGAGCGAAAAGAATTAGTTAAAGGCAAACATGTCAGTTAAAAGTACATTTTATGTACAGTAGAATCCTGGTTTACTGAAATAAAAGGGGGAGAGCCATTTCGGACAACCAATTTTTTGGTTAACCCGTCAAGTGCTAAAAATAGCCTATAAATTACCACAGTGTGTAGGAAAAATTATTTAAAACAATGTCTATATAATACAGTGTTTTATTTAGGCTACAAAAATGTTACAATGGGTTAGAAAATCCCATTTTGAGAGATGAAAGGGTCTCTCTGTTTACATATAACTTAATCTACTTATATTTTAGCCCTGTATTAAGTTATTCGGTTAATTTGATTTTGGTTAACCGGGGTTCTACTGTAGTTGTAAACTTTGATTAGCTATCATATGAATATAGAATAGGTATTAATTGTTTTTTGAATTGTAATTCAAAAATCGCAACCTTTCAATAGTATTTGATTGTTTGTGCATTTATTCATACATAAATTCTATAACCAAGAAAATTTTGTTACGTGGCTATGGTCAAAATAGTATAATTTTCATTCAAATATGTGCACAACCAATGAGTGAGACAAGTTATTTAGCGGTCTAGTAGAATGAGTCACCCAATCGCTATTAGGAGATAAGAAGAGGGGACACGTTAACACACAAAATACTAAGTTGAAATTTTGTGATTTCTTAATAAATTGTATACAAAATATATAGATATTATAACAGACCTTTAATTTTACTACCTATATAGAGCAAAGCTTAGTCTATGGCCATAAACAGTTCTTCAATTAAGGATTTGTATTTGACCTATTAGTGCTTTTAACCTTATCTTCATTAATTGTTTTTATTTTATTTTCACTGTTAAGTAGTTATACTTCAGGTATAAAACTGGTATTATAATTATAATGTAATGAGAAACGATTTGGTAGAAAGTTGCTTACCTGTAGACTACCATCTCAGAAGATAGGCCTACATAAGTCTCAATTAACACCTAGTTAAGACATAAGAGGTGATGGTAAGTTGCGATATACGTGAAAGAAGTAAGGTTTGGATTATATTTAAACATATGGATATAATTTATAATTGAATAACTTGATAATTTACTGCGCTAGTTTAAAATAACCATTGGCTGGTCAATAAATATAACATTAAAACACTGTATTTCTTTCCAGGTCATGAAGTATGTCACACAGAATAAAAATAATCTTTGAGAAAGCAATTGGCTTTCTTATTAAAATTGAATTTTTACTTTTACTAATTAATACTTCTACTAATACATACGGTAGTCCCAGAATGTCACCGTATTTAGTTCAACATTAATATTTACCAAACAAAAGGGGAGATTTCTGGCGACTCAGAAATATGGCATTTGGCCTTGAGGCTGTCGCAGTTTGTCTCGTAGAAAATTAGTCTAATGGTTTTATCACCACACCTCGTACATCTACCAACCAACTGTAGTGTAGAAAAACAATCTCTCTTATCTACCTAACTGCAAATTTGACCCTTGAAAATACCCAAATTCATTAATAAAGCTCACAAGTTGTAATTGTTGCTATGGCCGTTTTGGCATCACAATGCTATCATCAGATGCATGCATCTCGGCTGAAGAAGTTACATCGAAGTTAAAGCGCATAAAATGCACAAATGTGTTTTGACTTTAACAATACTGCTTTAGCCGAGATATGCATGCGTCTTAGAACATTGTGCATTATATTTTCTGTAACAACCATAAGAACAGTAAATTTTGAGCTGTTTTGGCCAAGTTCAATCCTGTTTGTTATTTTTGTCTAAACGTTTAGTTCTTGAAAACAGAAACACTTGATTATGAACAAATTTAAAGTTGAATTTTTACCATGTTGATAGTTATTACTGTAATAATAAATTAACATTTTAAACATTGAAATACACTTAGTTACATGATTAAATATATACTATCTAGCACTAAAACCTAATATTCAAAGATTTTTTACTCTGATATTTCCGTGTGTGTTTTCCGAGAGGTTCGTTACAAAACTACCAACCAGTTTAAATTTTAGTATGGCAAAAGTGCCCTCTATTTATACCAGAATAAATGTCAATGAGGCTTATCCAAACAGCGGTTAATCCAGGGTTGGTTAAAAGAGGGCCTGCTTTAGGTCATTTTGGCCTAGTTTGTATCAGGTAATTCTGTCAAGTATTTTATAAGGAAATCTACTTGTGTAATAGAGGACTCAAGTTTACTGTAAATTAGCTGAAGAACGGCTTGTAAAATAGGTTATTGAGTGACAAGACCTTTAAAAAAGCTGTAGTCAATGTTTTACTGTTAAAGGAATGTAAATTCTACTGATTTTCTAATGTATTTTTTCACTATGGAATTTTGACAAACATTTTATTACAGATGATGCCAAAGAAACCAAAGTTTGCCAATGAAGGAGACGACAGCGATGCGTCAAATAATGCCTCAGAAAGTGACTTTGATGAAGATGAAGATCCTGACAAAATTGAAGTTCCAGGTGAGTTTCACAAATAAGAATAAGTCTGTTTCATTGTGTGTTTTATAATGCACAGATAAACTTATATTATTTTATGGTTTTGATGAAGTTCTAAAAGTACCGATATTGACAAGAAGTAAAGATAAGAATAATTTTTTCAGTTTTGGAGATCCCCAATCATTCATGTTCAGTGGTTGAATAAAGCATACAAACAACATCGTAATGTGCAGGACAGTGAGTGACCCTAGCTAGCCTTGTTGGAGTGTTGTTGCTACTTGGCAGATAATTCTACACATCAGGCCTATATAAGCCCTACTACTACGACTCTTTACAATTACATTTATATCCCAATGAAAAAGTTGTATTTGAGATAAATGTCATTACCAGGTTGATTGTAATGTATTTTGTTTTAGGTGGTGGAAAAGATTTGGCAACCTCTGCCACGTTAAACAGGATAGAGGAACTCAACAATAGGGGTGGGTTAACAATCAACAAAATTCCACCCATGAACCAACAACAATACCAACAACACCAACAGCAATCCCTTCAACAATCCCTGCTAAAAGGGAAACTTCAACAGCAAATGCTGAACCCTGTCAAAATGCAACAAGGTACATTATACTAGAGATGTAAATTAAACAAGTAAAGGAATATCTACACAGAACTAGTCTATATTCAAAACAACCTGCATATGCTGGAATAAAATTTTACAACAACTAACCACATGAAATTAAAATTTTGAAAGAACACAACTTTCTTTTAGACCATCCAGTATAGGGTATTAAAGATTTTTTCAAGATATCCCAATCAATTTGAAAATCATTTTCAGACATGTCACTTGGTTATCTAAACTGATTGGGCTAAAGTGGGAAAACCCAAATATGTGTATATTTTTACTTTGTTACTAAGTTAGATGGTCTTTTTACTAACTTTTGGTTTTTTGTCTTTTGGATTATATTTAGCAATTATGCGCTGTGTAGTGTACATTATTATTTAGTTTTAGTCTTGATGCCATTCATGTACAAAACAATATGTATATCTGAATAAAGTGGTTAGAATCTGAACCTAAAAAACAATATCTTTGTGCAATTACCTTTTCTTGGTAAAAAATCACCAGTTTTAGTTCAGAAACCAATTACAACAAAAAAATCTATTAATAAATCAGTTGGTAGAAAAATGAAACAACAAAAATTGTATGTTAAAGATTCTTAATATATTCGGCACCTACTATATTTAACTTTTATTTAATTAAAATCAAAGATTTGGGCAACAATACCAAAAATAACTTTTTCCAGGACCTATGCCTAATAAAATCCCTGGGGGCTTGGTGACCAAAGGGAACATGACTCCAGGCTATGAGATGGTTCGAGGAGGAATGGGAGGTATGAGTAGCATGCCAGGGCAGTACATGAACATGCCGTCACATGCCAACATGATGGGAGCCCTGGGATACCCCAGCATGGGCTTCCCTGGTAATATGATGTCATCAAACATGAACTCTGCCACTGCTCAGTTTCTTCAAGGAATAGGCCAAGGTAGCAACTTTTAAAATACTGTAACATATTTTAGTTTCGTAAGAAAGACAAGTTCTAAAAATATTCAAGACTTTATTTACAAAAAATGTTCACATGTCTATATATTGTGGAAATATTCCACACAAGACCAAAGTCTGAGTACAAGGATTGTGATTGCTCCCTCTTATCCCTTCACAGCGGTTTGTCGAGCCTTCCTTGTCACATGATAAAAGACGCGGTTATGGTTTGACGGGACCATTTTGTATTGCTTTTAAATGTGAAAATTATGAAAATCTGATTTGGAAAGTTATGAACCCGTGAGAACCATTTAGTTGTGATTATGGACCTAAAATTGGTTTTTTTTGCAAAGCTCGGTCCCCTAGTATTATCTTATATATTGAGGTGCTGTTACAAAGCTTTAGTTATGGTATTGTTTGTCGAAGGTATGGGTAGTGGTGATATGGGATACCCTCCAAACCTGAACGCTCTCAATCAGATCCTTTCCATGGGAGGAATGGGAGGATTGAACCAGTTGATGGGTCAAGGCATGTTGCAAGGCATGTGGCCCTCTATGATGCCAAACAAAGCTGTCTCCAACATGTGGGGAGCACCGGATGACACCAAGGTAAATAAACAACCTACCAAATTTGAATTTAACCTGAGGTTTTTAAAAGGAAAAAAGTTAATGGTTTCTTGTAAAATATTGGTCTTGTTTTTTAAAACTCTGCAAAACGTCTCAAGGAGAAAATTGCAGTCGGTAGAAAAGAGTTTTTGTTATCAAATTCAAATTTTGGTTGAAAATTAATTAACTTTTACATATTAACTGTGGACAGCACTGCATGCCATAGACCATTATCTTAGCTGTATCACAATAAGGTACCTGTATAGACTTTGTTGTATGCTGAATGGTTATGGAGAAAATTCTAAAAAACTATAAATCAAAATTTACCTTGTTATTTGATATGTTGTTTAGTATGTTGTTCAAGTGCAATATAGAGATGAATATGAATAGCAGTTTATTTTTCTTGTCCCAATGATTATCTTGCTAAATCTTAGCTTGCACTGTTTTCAGATGAGAGACCAAGAAGAAGAAGAAAATGATGATGAAGACATGGGTGTCGCTGAAACATACTCAGACTACATGCCTCCTAAATGTAAGATACACATATTGTAATTTTAATTAGACAAATGAAGGGGGTTTAGTTATCTGTCCTGGGGATAACTAAACCGAATTACGAATAGCTTTTACCTCTGTAACCATCTTGTTTTTGTTCCCAACCTAAGCTGTATGTTCACATAACGAGAAATCAACAAAGGATTTGTCCTTAAGGCAAGGAGAACTATTTCTATAATATAACTTCCTCCTTAAAAGCCGCACGTTACATTTTCTGTTGTATTTTGTGAAATAAAGAAAATCTGGTAGAATTCATAGGAATGACAGTTTGAAAACTACTACAGTGAGCTCCTGGATCTATTTGATCTGTAAATTTCTATCTTTACATTGCTCTCATTTTCTGTTATATTTAGGTCAGTCAACAGACTAACCTACTTCCCCATGATCGATAGTAAGAGATCAATATAAAACTGCTGAATAATGTCAATCATACTTGTGAATTTTTTTCCCAAAAGTGTTTACAGAAAGCTATTTTTTTGCCCGTTAATGTGGAGAGAATTGTATCTTGATTCCGTTGTATTTTGCAGTGAAGATAGGCAAGAGGCACCCAGACCCTGTGGTCGAGACTGCTTCATTGTCGAGTGTGGAGCCCACAGAGGTGTGGTACGAAGTGTCGTTGCCTGATGAGACTATACGTTCTGGATCTCTGTCTGCACTTCAGCTGGAGGCCATTACTTACGCAGCTCAACAGCACGAGCACTTCCTTCCCGACGGGACGAGGGCCGGCTTCCTCATCGGTAATCACTCCACGTGGTCAACACATTTTAGCAATTTATCTTTCACAGTAACTTAAGCCGTACCTGTTTGATTTGAGGTATGTTAAATTATACGCTGGGACTAACAGTCCATTTTGTGGCTTAGATGGAGAGTGTCAAACTATCAATTGCAGCCGTTGAATGGTTCATTCATCAAAATTGCCCATTTTTTTAAAAGTGAAAGTAGACTTCAGTGGCTTAGCGGCTTTGAATTCAGCGTTATGATGGGGAGGTATTATTTCTGATTATATTTTAAGACAAAGGAATGCAAACACATTGTGTCTAATGTATTGCTATGATTTCTTTTCACCATCCTTCAGTTGTATCCATTTTCCTATGATATAAATAATGTTTTGATCCATTTAAAAATCTTTCGGTTACATCACACAACAAGCAAATATTTGTTTTATTCAAAAGTCCAACAATAAATCTATTTTATGAGTATTTGCAAATGTTTTCCAACCTGGATTGAATGCACTGGCTTTTGTATCCTTACCATTTTGTGTTAAGTTGAAAATCTGTTAAAATTATATAAACGACTGCTAATGACAATTCCTTACTTGAAAGGACATTTCTATAACAACACTATTTATATGCTTTCAGGTGATGGAGCTGGAGTAGGAAAAGGAAGAACCATTGCTGGCTGCATCTTTGAAAACTTTTTAAAGGGCAGGAAAAGGGCAATCTGGGTTTCTGTTTCTAATGACTTGAAGTACGACAGTGAAAGAGATTTGAAAGATATCGGGGCTAGTAAAGTAGAAGTGTACTCTCTGAATAAGGTTAGTTATTTTAATTGAAACGTTAGTTGAAATATGTAATCTGTATAGCCTTGATTAACCGAGGTAGTGTACCTCGCATAGGCAAAATTTGTATAGCAAACTTTACCCTGGTAAAATGGAAAAATTAACCTATGTATGGCTTTTATTTTGTCTCAAAACAAATCTGGCCTTAAATCGTCGCTTTATCTGTGAACTTCTGTTATCTAACATTCCAGTTATCTTCTAAGTCTGTCTGGCCTATTAATGACATGGACTCTCAACTTTCACTAGCCCACCTCAAATATCAAAACTTTGCTGTACAACTTAAATTCTAAACACAACTTAAATTAAGGTGATGAGTTACAACTAAAATATGTCAGACTACGCCTTAAATTCACAAATTCATTCACTGCTGTACCCTTACCAATTAGCTGTAAAATTGTGAAATAAAAATTTTGGGATATTTATGACTTTTCGGGGTTGGGGAGGTGACATACAAATGAATTTAAAATTCCCCCCCAATTTTGAAATTTTGATTTGTTGGTCGTGGCCTGTAAACTACACTGATGTGCACTTTGACTCCTAATTTTTTGCTTTCCGTAATAAAAATATTCATCAAACACTCATTCGGCCTGTCGTCGAGGTATATTTAGTTTAATTACTGCCTTTCAGACTTGATGTCGAACTCGTGAGTGATTACATAAATGCATTTAAATATATTCATCAACTTGGTTTAGTAAAATATTAATAAAAAACACCAAAGTTCTCCTAATTCTACTTTGAAATTAAAACATCCTCATTAAAATTGATTTTTAAATTTTCCTTGGAAATAAAATAAACTGAATGATATTGATTCACATTTCATTCCATTTCATTGTGCTATGCATGCTCGTGCATTCCAGGTCGCCACGTGGTGCCGACCTGCAGCCTGTCGATTTCCTGTCTGAACAAAGCCCTTGGCTGGTCTGAGACACGTTTTAATCTATTCTATTTCTGTTAAAATTGCATTTTTGGCCGGATCTTGACGCTCTGCTACCAATATGTGATGATGTGGTGTAGTATGAGTGTAAATGAAGATACCTGGGCCCTATATATCTTCCTCTAACCACTGCCAAATCACGCACATTTCCTGTCGAAACCCAACTCTATTGCAAGGAATTAATTTAGCTCGTCAAAGTGCACAATATTACCTTAGCTGCCTATCACAGCCAGCTTTTATGTTCTTAATGTATCTAATTATAATATAGTGAACAGAGAAATATATATATATGGACTTATTCTAATTCGTGAAAAAGGTTACTAGACTTGAAAAAGGTTACTAGACTTAGCAAATGTGAATTCTAATTTATGATATTAATTGCCAGACCACGACCATTCCAGAATCCAATAAGTTACATAATTTAATTACTCCTGCCCTAACCTACACCCTTCCCCAACCCCTACTTCTATTAGCTAGACATCTTAGGCTACAGTTACTTATCCAGTTAGATGTACAGCTCCAGGCGCTCGACACTACACTGTACTGCTCTTGGTTCGCTGCGCGTGCCTACCCGGGTGACTGCGCGCGCATCGTAGTCATGTGACTTGCGCTATTGTAGCGATCCGCTACAAATTTTCTAGCAATTTTTATGTACTTTCTTACCTGAGAAAAAAAATATAGATTCTGAAACGTTATTTATTGTTTTTTAATAATCGGGATGGAAAATTTTAAACACTTTACCAGATTAAGGTTTTAAATATACAATACAGGTAATGTCCGTTAGCCAGACAGAGTGTAAATGCATTGGTTAAACCACAAATCTAGGGGTGTGCGATGCATCGAAAATGCATCGAAATTTGGATTCGATTCGATTCGATGCATCGAATCGCGATTCGATTCAGTGGTGGTCAAAAAACGATTCGATTCACGAGGGAGTCAGTATCCATATACGAAAAACGCCTGCAGAAAGTCAATGCAATACCCGCAATACAGGAGCGCGTTGCTGTTGCGTTTCCTTTACGAAGGCGTTCTTATTTAATAATATAGCTTTAATTGTTTTATATTTTTTTGTTTTGACATTGCAAATGATTAGAGGTTTGTTTTTTGTCTTGATGTAAGCAGTGTGTGAAATATTTTACTACTGTGAACCTAGCCAAAACAAGGTAGGTTACTCCAAAATCATTTTAAAAATAAGTCTGAAAAATTGTTAATACTTAACTAGTAAGATTAATGTTATAGACTGATTCATTTGGTATTTTTGTTAGGTGTCTGCCGGTCCCCGTCCCCGAATTTTTTTGGGGCAAAAGAAAAAAAAAGAATAATTTATTTCCAAAGAAACACTCTTATATTATTATATCTATTATTACAGAGGAATTAAAATGTTCAAATGAGAATTAAAAATTAAGTTGGCTCACGACCTTTAAGAATAAAGACACAACAGAGCAATTGCCGCACTGCCACTAGCCAGAGCCAGGTCTAGTCGTCTACTGATAAGAGTAACAAGACAAAAGCCGTGACACAACACTAACAGTGCAAAGAAAACAAAGTCAAAAGAATAGAAAGACTATTTATCCAGACATACTAGTATAATCATTTATTGTTTATTCAATACCTAATTAAAAATATATTTTATTATTTTACATAATAAATTATAAACAAAAGAAATATCTGATATAGTGAACAGATCTGTATCTTGGTTAGATGGGGTTAAAAAAATATATTTCTAAGATCCAATACAATATTTACAACTCACAAATTACATTGAATTAATTTCTTTGAAAATAATCTCTAACAGTTTTGTGTTTTTGAATAAAGAAATATATTTCTTTGTCTCTACTTCCTTGTTTCATCACTTGCATTTTGTCAGCAATTGAAGCAACTGGGTAGCAACCGGGTGGTGTAAGAGGGGAGGGGGAGGGTCTATGACCTTGAATTCACACATCGTTGCCCGGGCCTGGCTGGTGAGACTGATTCATTGTTTTTGTTGACATACTACTACCCTTCCTTAAGAGAAAAAGACCTTCTGTTCCAAAAACATTGAGGGTAGTTTAAAAACATTGACCTGTGTTGCCAAGGGCACTAGGCTAGAAGATAGCATTTAACTTTCTTGTCTCTTGATTTAATATTATTTTAATCTTCTATATATTATTTAAGAGTTACTTTTCGGGTACCTAATTAGTTGTGATATTGTTTGGCTTTATTTTATGGATTTTTAATTCTTTTCATTCATTAGCTATCAAAATCAGTTGTTTTAGGATTTTAATCTCTTGCAGTAGGTCTATACTACTGTATGACATGATATGCATTTTTTAGTCCTTATTAATTATACCATAAACAATGTTTGTATGTTATTTACTGTTTTTGAGTTTTATAGGAAATTAGTTTACACAATATCTTTTCTTCAATGAGTTCTCCACTTGACATGTTGCTTCTAGCCTATTACTATTTTAGGCCCTATAAAAATAATGCCTAGGTAAAGCTGTAGGCCTACTGATGCCAATAATAATTCTTTATTTATGATGATGTAACAAATAATGTAAGTGTGAGGTTATTATACTAAGGAGGTTAGGAGGCAGGGAATGAATGATACATATTGCATGGTGGAAACATATTATTTTTATTTTCTTCTTGCAACACTATATATGCAACACTATACTATAGTTGTGATATGTAAATTTATTTCTTAATGGTCTTTTTATATTAAGTTCCATTCAAATTTGTTGTAATTTAGCTACCGGCACCTATTTAGTTATTTAAACAGTTATTAAAATGAGAATGAATGTCTTGATAAAAAAAATATTTTCTTCTTTCTTGCAGTTGAGCCAATTCAAGTAAAAATTATGAAATAGGCAAGTAAAGCAGCTCACTGGTATTTCCAGCAGTTATTCTAATACATATGATTGAAAATAAATATTTGTTCACCTAAAATTCATATGTTAAGTATGAAATAGGCCTAATACCACATCAACAAAAATTTGTATTACACAAATGTGATACATTTTAATTATTGTTAATCCACTCAATTGACAATTATGAATAGAAAAATACCGTATTGCTTCGAATCGAGTTGCATCGAATCGAATCGAAAATCTTTTGAATCGAATCGTTGCTTCGAATCGAAAATTTTTTGCTGCTTCGCACACCCCTACACAAATCATTCATGAATTACTAAAGTAATATGTGTACGAGACAAATTTTTCTAAATTATAGGCCTACTTACGATTTCTAGTTTTAAAATACAAGTATCTGCAATTTAACATCTATATCATGTTTCACTGTAAGATATTTCAAAGTCAACAGAGTACTTACAGTTTTTATTTGATCACTATACCTGTTTTTTCTTACTGGATTTTGACCAACCTATGTCTGGGTAAAGGGGGCTTTACAATAGCAACATGAAATTTAAATTGATGATACCTTATGAACTGTGTAACATCTCGAGAGAGTGTTTCTCGACAACGAGTGTACTACTCAGGGGAAGATACCTGAGGATGATTATTTTAAATAATTTATTTATTAGTTAACTATCCGATCGTCGTTACCTGTAATGTTTACTGTCTAATGTTTTATCTAATGTGTTTTATGTTGTATTATCTAAAGTAATCTCATTTTTTACTCTATGTGAAGAAGATTTAAGCAAAAGTATCCTTACTGTTTATAGTTAATATTTTGTATTAGTTACCTATTTGTTAAACAAGGTGCAAATAAAATCAAGCCATTCTTCTACTTTTGTGCGTGCAACCCAATCTCCTGTATCTTGGTGTTTGTGTAAGAATGAAACATCACAATCAGGTTTGGTGTTCCATTGTGTAAACTGACCAATGTTCTGTTTTGTGTTATTTTAGTTCAAATACGCAAAGATCTCATCTCCAGTGAATGGAAACGTCAAGAAGGGTGTGATATTCTCAACATATTCCGCCCTGATTGGTGAATCTTCACAGTCAAGTGGGAAGTACAAGACTCGACTAAAGCAGCTTCTGCAGTGGTGTGGGGATGACTTTGATGGACTTGTATCCTTATGTGTTTTAGGTAGTGATGGTCGGATCCGGATATCGGACTACCAGATCCGCCGGATCTGAGCTAGAACCGGCACCCGATCGGATCCAAAAAATTCTGGATCTTCGGCAGGATCCGGTTTTGATGGATCCGATTTTTTCTGATTTTTCCCGATTTCTTTACTAACACAAAGCTATCTGTATCCATGTAAAAGACCGATTTTTTACTAACACAAAGCTGTCTGTTTCCATGTACAAGACTATCTGTGACTGTGAACAAGAAGACTAATGTCAATGTCACAGTACTGTATATTGACGACATCAATAACATCCTATGGTTAGTCAATGTCACAGTACTGTATATTGCCGACGTCAATAACCTCTATGGTTAGTCAATGTCACAGTACTGTATATTACAACGTCAATAACCTCTATGGTTAGTCAACATCACAGTACTGTATATTACGACGTCAATAACCTCTATGGTTAGTCAATGTCACAGTACTGTAATATTGCCGACGTCATTAACCTCTATGGTTAGGCAATGTCACAGTACTGTATATTGCCGACGTCAATAACATTTATGGTAAGTCAATGTCACAGTACTGTATATTTCCGACGTCAATAACCTCTACGGTTAGTCAATGTCACAGTACTGTATATTACGACGTCAATAAACTTTATGGTCAGGCATTGTCACAGTACTGTATATTACGACGTCAATAACCTCTATGGTTAGGCAATGTTACAGTACTGTATATTACGACGTCAATAACCTCTATGGTTAGGGAATGTCACAGTACTGTATATTACGACGTCAATAAACTTTATGGTCAGGCATTGTCACAGTACTGTATATTACGACGTCAATAACCTCTACGGTTAGTCAATGTCACAGTACTGTATATTACGACGTCAATAAACTTTATGGTCAGGCATTGTCACAGTACTGTATATTACGACGTCAATAACCTCTATGGTCAGGCATTGTCACAGTACTGTATATTACGGCGTCAATAACCTCTATGGTTAGGCAATGTTACAGTACTGTATATTGCCGACGTCTATAACATCTATGGTTAGTCAATGTCACAGTACTGTATATTACGACGTCAATAACCTCTATGGTTAGGCAATGTTACATTACTGTATATTGACGATGTCAATAAACTTTATGGTCAGGCATTGTCACAGTGCTGTATATTACGACATCGAGGGTGTTACAAATGCAGGACCTGTTGACGATGGTGTTGCAACCGCGGTAGATGTTCCCACAATGGTGGAGCGATCGGGCGTTATAGTTATGATCATATTGTATTAGGCAGGCTACACATTACAAAATGTATGATTATAAAGGCTAAGATAACCATATCAGTCCTTAAAACTCCACACAGTTAAAAAATGCAGTGGTAGTCCTATCAAATACATGGTTAGCTAGAAGGGTATTTTATGACGAGACTGATGTTTGACTGTTAAATTTCACCATAGGCTATATAAATTCTTTAGTCACAAATTTATTTATAACTGTGTATTTTTACCCATTATTGGTTTTTATAGATCAGTGCCACTAAGGCTGAAAATTTATCTTTCTTGTCATTATTGATATGTGCAATAATGTTTACTCAAGTTTTTAAAAACAAACCATTTTTTGCATGGAGAAAATACCCTGTCCTTTCCCAAAAAATTGGGAAGGAAATACAAATCTTGTCCCGCTCCTTTTCAAACTAAAAATTCTATCCCGTCCATATCTAATTAATTGGCGAAAGGAATGTTAGTCAAGTCATTAAAGTATTATTCCGAAATCCAAACCCTTAACTAAAACAATAGTTGTCAAATGTTATTAAAAACAACGAATTTGGCACAAAAATTAAATAAAATTTTAAATTTATAAAAATTGAAAATACAAAAAGGGTTGTGCCATAACTTAAATTAAATTGTTTTGGAGTAATATTTTTCAAAAGTACACACATCCCCCAGAATGATGAAAGTCTTTTAGTTGTACAAGATTGAAGCAAAAGTTATATTGTCCTTAGCTGTTTCTTAGATAGTGTTTGATGAGTGTCACAGAGCCAAGAACTTGTGCCCTGTCGGTTCATCCAAACCGACCAAAACCGGTTTGACTGTGCTCGAGCTGCAAAACAAACTTCCCAAGGCAAGAGTGGTTTACGCTTCAGCAACAGGAGCTTCAGAACCTCGCAACATGGCATACATGACAAGACTGGGCATGTGGGGGGAGGGGACAGCTTTCCCTGAGTTTACTGACTTTATATCTTCAGTCGAGAAAAGGTAAAATATCATTGAAAATAAATATGAATATTTAAAAACTTTCTCCAGTATCGGTTGGGTTTTAATTCACTGATAAAAGTTTCGGTTTTGAGATTTGATCACTGAGTTTCGAGATTTAAAAGTTGTTCGGAAATCTTGATTATTTTTAGTGGCACAGTACAGTAGAATTCCAATTATCCAAGCTAAACGGGACCGAGACCACCTCGGATTATCAAAACCTCTCGGCTGTAAAAATTATAGGTTATTCTTACTTACTTACTGATGGGGCGTCACAAATTTCAGTAGATTTTTGGCCTCGTACGTAAGCCGCCTTCACTCTTCTCTATCCTCCGCCATCCGGATTTATTCTACGCATTGGATCACATCCTTTTTGACTTGGTCATACCATCTTAATTTAGGCCTACCCAACGGACGTTTTCCTGTAGGTATGGCCTCTCAAACCTCTTCAGTCTTGTGCCATCCTGTCTTCGAAGTACAGGATGGCAATTAATCATCTATACTATTATATAAAAATCAAATGGTGTCTGTCTGTATGTGTGTTACTAATAGGTGCAAAAACTACTGAACCAACTGAGTTTAAATTTTACAAAGAATATAGTTACCATACCAAGGACCATTATAGAACTATTCACATTTCAATACTGACCGTAGGCTTTGCCCCTTTGGCTTTAAAAGTTCTGAGGTGAACATTTTAAAAGTAAATATTGATTGGTCTCCATGGCTGCATGAGAACACCAACAATGTTTGTTTACGTTTGCTTTGACATTTAAATGTAAACAAGAAGAACTGCTAAACTGCATGTATTTCACAATTTCAGACAGCTGATACAAAGAATAAATATAATATTTTCCATAAGGTAGGTTTATTTTAATCTAACCTTTTATCATGGATTATTTATTCTAAAAATGTGTCAATGATTATAGAAAAAAAGATTCTATAACCGTTGCTGTATCAACTCCGGCTCTGCTTTGGATTTTTTAAAGCGTCTAAGTTAAGAAAATAATGTTATTGATATGTTTTCATGGAAACAGTATGAAAATTACAATGTATAGATGTTTTGTATGAATTTTGAGGCTACTTTAAATAAATTCTAACTGCTTAACATGTGTTAGATTAACTTAACACAACTTGCACATCACATTGTTTTTTATATGTATATTTAGGTAAATTAAGTTATTGTGTTTTGCTAAACCTATGCTTAAATTAAACTAAAGAATATCATCAATAACTAAATTGCATGTCGTTGATTTTTGTTTTCTAAAATCTGTTGTATATGTGTAACTATATTTAATTTTCAAATGGTAATACAAAATACTCTTATTTTATATTAACATAGCTTTCAGTTCACATTTATTTTATTTGATACATTTATTATTTGTGTTTTGCCACACCACTGATTAAATTAAACCAAGGAAAATATCATAAAACTAAGCAGTACACAGTGTTCTTTTGTTTCTAAAATCAATGAAATATCTGTTACTATGTTTACTTAAGTGTGAAAATGTAAAGGCAATGGACAATGGAACTGATTTAAAGAACTGGTTTGTATATTAAGTTGTTTGTTGATATTTTTGTAGAGTAGAATAAGAGATGCAATGAAACATAATATACTGTATTTGCTATTACATTTTTTAGTCCCTGATGCTTTGATAATATTAGTTTTGTCTGCTGTCTTTAATGCTAAATTATTATTTTTTTATAGTACCTATAGATATAGTTTCTTTAATATTTCAAAAGACTGTTTTGATAAGGCACAGCAATATTTCTAAAGTTTATAATAGCTGACTTAGTTTTGCTAATGATTTATTGTGAGTGAAGAAACTGAAGATGGAAGGATTTGTGATTTAATATAAAGAAGAGTGAAATTACAAAAAATGTTCATTTAAATTTAATAATTAGTATTTTTGCAACTTCAAAATTGAAATTTAAAATGTCGATAATAAATTAAAAGATATGTAATTAAGGGAGATGAAGGTAAATCATGTAGGCCTATGTCAAAGTTTGATTCGAAGATTTGGTCAGTTTTTCTCATATCAGCCTACACAAGATTTAAAATTAATCAAAACCAAAATGGTGGTATCCACTACTTACCAGATTTAAAAGTCATAACTTAAACGTTTCTATTAAGGCTATAAAAGTTGAATTTTGTTTCTAAAAGCATTGGCGGATGTGTAACTATTATATGCAACAGATGTGAAGATTAAAATGTTTCTATTTTGTGTCCTCTTCCCGTTGCAAAGCACGGGTACAACAGCTAGTAGGTTATAGCCTAATTAGACAAAAATCATATTGAAACTAGAGAATATGGTTTATTATTACAGTACAGTTATAAGTGATTTGTTATTAAATAAATGATATTTCTCTACCAACTCTACCAAAAGTCGATTTATTACCGGTGGAACTGCATTTCCCGGCTAACAATATTGTGGACTTGGAACAAAATGAAAAAAAACTGCTATATACAGTCGACAATCAAGAGTAATATTCTCAATTTTCTTGTGACAGTGTGTGAGATAAACATTGATAGGATGCAAGTTGATGGGTTGGCTGGATTCTTGCACCTTTAACCATTTTACTACTATTAAGATATTTTTAATTTATTTTACCACTTTTTAACCACCCTTAGTGTGTGTATTGTATGCATACACGTCTATCAAAAACATATTTTTTTGTGTTCATGAGATGAGTGGAAACATGATAAAATTATAAAAATAGGTTAAAATAAATGAATAAAAATTCCTGGGGTTTACAAGGAAAACTCATTTATTTTGTATTATTAACAATATTTAATTGTTTCAGTGTGTATCCTGATTTCCCAAGTCCTTCAAGTTCTCCAAAAACCCTCCTTTTGAGTTCCTCTCTTTTTAAAATGAGTTCAGTGAGTGAAGTCCTTTTTTGTTCCACTTTTTCAAATGTTGAAATTTTCAAACTATTAGTCTTTAGTTAATTGTAACATTTTATCAGTAAGAATTAAGAATTTATTAGACATAAAAAACGTTATTAAGCTACAAAATATTTTTAATATGAATATCCAGAATCTATTAGATAACAAGGATATTTTTAAAATATTCTGGAATTTCCTGACTTACATTATTTTTAGCACTAACGTCAGTAACAAGTGAATTGGTAACAGTAATTTGCATAAATGTATCATTTCTTTGGACACCTTTTAACATAAATTTGGATTACAGCACAAAGTAGTAATACCCAAGGTTCACCATTTATTCCTGTTTCTCCATTTATTTAAGTAACACCCAAAAGCAAATAATATATTTTTCCTCACAAGAAAAAAAAAATTGAATTCCTCTTTTTAGATTCCTCTAACTTAGCACATAGCACATAACATGAAAAACGTAAATAAATTATTGGTGTTAACAGAGGTGTCGGTGCGATGGAGATTGTTGCCATGGACATGAAGTTGCGGGGAATGTATATCGCTCGTCAGCTCAGTTTCCACGGAGTAGCCTTTAAGATAGAAGAAGTGCCGCTCTCTCCTGACTTTGTCAGGGTTTATGACGACGCCGTCACCTTGGTAAGGTCATTTTACTTTTACACTAATAATGTGATGAATGATTGTATCGAACTAAAGAAAAACCTAAAACATTTTCAATAGATTGAAACTAGTTTTAGTTGCCATTGGTCATTGAGCCGATGTATTAAAATTCTCACCAAAGGCTGTTGATGACCTAAAAAAGGTTTATCATTTCTAATTTATCAAACCTGTACCTCAGATGTATTGTTTTTGACGCCTAAATGACATAGACCTTAGTTTAGTTGAAGATGTTAACAAAACACATATTTCTAGTGGGTCGAAGCAATGCAAAGGTTTCAAGAAGCAGCAGAGTTGATCGATGCTGAAAATCGTATGAAAAAGACAATGTGGGGTCAGTTTTGGTCTTCTCATCAGCGCTTCTTCAAGTACCTGTGTATTGCCGCTAAGGTGAAACACGCCGTGCAGACAGCCAGGTGAGTGCAGAGTGAACAACGTTGGTCCTAAAACTAAAGAAAAGCCTTAAAAACATATGTAAAAGTTTGATACTGGACCCAGTTACCATTGATTCTCATCAAAGGTTCTTGGTGGGATACTTTGTCATATATATGGTTACCACTACCAGTCTGTACTAATTTTAAATTCTTTTTTAAACTTTTTTTCTTTCTAAGGTAGTAAACTTGTTTTTCATGCTCTGCAAAAGTTGTGGAGGTGGTATTATAATTTTGTTTGCGTAAATTTATTGGAATAAATATAATAACCTTAAGAGATATACAAATATGCGCTGACAATCCTTAACTAATTAAAACACTATATGATAATCAAAATAACTGTTTTATGCTTTGTTAAGTGGGGATTGTTTAGGCCTGACACTATTGATTCAGCCCACATTAACACGTTCAGTGTGGCATACCTTCAAACAGGCGCTCGCCAATGGCGGCGAAGCCCCGGTGCGCCACCGAATCAGCGAACACAATTAGCATTCAAATTTTAGTCTGACAAATAACAAAAGAGCAGCGGTGATTGTGCTGCGTTACCACGAGAGTGGACGTAGTTCACAGAAAAAGGTAGCAGCACTGCCTGGATTTTACGGAAAATTTCAGTACCAACCTACACCAAAATAATGCTCGCATTTTAAGCTACAGGCTGGCAACGATTATAATGTTCCCCGGCTATGGCTGAGCTCATACTGAACTAATGTAGTGGGAGTGGCACGACTACATCTATAGATGTAGGCCGACAGGAACGCTCGTGACGCACCACATCACTAGATGTAGCCCGCACTGAACGTGTTAATGGCATAGGCTATGTTCAACAGTGTTTTGCCACTCTAATCACAAGGTGTGGCAATTTTGATCTGTGAAAGTCTCTCTGGGGTATTTAATTTTCAATTTTTTTTTTGTGTTGAGATCCAACACATACAAAAGTTAATAACTATAATTATTTTTAGAATCGAAACCTACATTAATTAATTTAAGAATCAATAAGTTTGGGTGTTTACAATCATTACTAATAAAGTTAATATTTGACAGGGAGGCTGTCAAATGTGGAAAATGTGTTGTGATTGGTCTCCAGTCTACAGGGGAGGCTCGTACTTTGGAACAACTAGAGAGAGACGATGGAGAACTGTCAGACTTTGTCTCTACGGCTAAGTAGGTTCTCAATATTTATCTAAAAAAAAAACAAAAAACGACTTTATGAAGAGTTTGGTTTTTCACACGTCCTTTTCTATCATAAATTTCTGATATTTTATAGTTGTTGTAGTGTCGTATAGTATTTGTAAATAGAGGTGTGCGGATAGTGAAATTTCAGTTCGGATCAGATTCGGGACTAAACCAGGATTCACCAAAGTCAGGCTAGGCCTACCCCTAGAACCAGCCACACTCAAATTTCTTCCCTGGAGTGCTCAGATGGAGCCGAGAAAAATCCAGGGGTCGATACGAAGTTGTCACGGCTTTGACTGATCAATTTATTAGATTTAATTGAAGGCTCAGAGCTCTAGAAGCGCTCAGGAAATCCTGCAGATGCTCAGTTGGAGCTATATCATCCTCACCTTTGTTAAAGTGTTTTGGATAATTTTGCCTAACTTTTATACTGACTGTAGGGCCGACGAGTATTCAATCTTAGCCAACGTGATTTAAATACTCGTATTAAACTTTAAACTATTGATTAAGGACGTGGGTAATTGATATAATATCGAATATGATGTAAAAAAGCAATTCCTACAGAGCCGTCGGGCCTTATTAATATAACTAAACGGAGAATTGATCGTGAGATGATTAAAGATAAATTTAATACCAATGTTCTTAGCTGATTGTTCAACTCAGCTTACTCCCAGACTTGATTCTTTCACCCGCCAAAGACGGGGCTTAGAACTCAGTCGACAAGTCTCGGGATATTAAAACGGTGAAAACGAGAAATCATTTAGACGTGATAATTATTCGTCGGACGTACGGTTTAATAGAAATTTTGTGTCTAACAATTACACTGAACTATAGCCACCGCTAGTCTCTGACCGGCATGAACTGGCGGGTCTTGACTCAAGTTGGTGAATTCGAAGTGAGTAAATATTAAATTTAGTTATTTAAAATCAAATTTGGAAACGACAATTTGAATGTTAAACGAAAATTAAACGTAAATCGTGGTAATGTGATTAACTAATATAGCTAACCTTCGGTAAACGAATTATCGGTGATCGTTGCAAGCGTTAATAACAGGCGAATGTAACGACAAAGTTACTTCGAAGACGGTGTACGAACTAATAATTCTGTCTTCTCGTAAAATCCTACATTCCAGTCCGGTTAAGGCTCACGCACTCAAGCGGCGAACTTAAGTACTACTAGACAACAGCTGATCGAATATTCAACTGTTAGCCGGTCTAGTTTCGTCTGTCGTCTGTCAACAAACAAACACCAGTTTAGGGTTATGTCGTCGTCGGCAATAAATACTTGTAAAATAGGTCGGTTTAACTTTATTTGGTGAAATGGAGTTGTATTACTGATAAATATTTCATGTCAGTGTGTGTACGTACTTCACTGTGATTTAAAATAGGCCTACGTTCTTTGGCCCATAGCCCAAGCTATGGCCAACACAAAGGCCTAGGAGTAGGCTATTGTGGATAGAAATCGGGTAAGTTCTGGTGTTCATTTATTCGCAGTATGTTATTACCCCCCTTAAAATTTGGTACCTTATACGGTTCAGATCGAATTGGATAATTAGAGGTTCAGTTTCGGATAGTTTGAGGTTCAAGTACTTACTGTTTGTAACTTGATGCAAGGAATTTATTTGGCAAGTCCATGTCTCATTGTTTGTATCTTGTTGTATTGGTTGTATCTTGTGTAAATGGCATTGCCGTGGAAAATAAAAAATGAAAATGAAAATGAAAATGATACAAACAATTTATATGGCTAGGCCATGTCTCCGTATTTGTAACTTGATCCAAAGAATTTACATGGCAAGGCAATGTCTCATTGTTTGTAACTTGATGCAAGGAATTTATATGGCAAGGCCATGTCTCAGTGTTTGTAACTTGATGCAAGGAATTTATTTGGCAAATCCATGTCTCATTGTTTGTATCTTGATACAAACAATTTATATGGCAAGTCCATGTCTCATTATTTGTATCTTGATACAAATCATTTATATGGCAAGGCAATGTCTCATTGTTTGTAACTTGATGCAAGGAATTTATATGGCAAGGCCATGTCTCAGTGTTTGTAACTTGATGCAAGGAATTTATTTGGCAAGTCCATGTCTCATTGTTTGTATCTTGATACAAACAATTTATATGGCAAGTCCATGTCTCATTATTTGTATCTTGATACAAATCATTTATATGGCAAGGCAATGTCTCATTGTTTGTAACTTGATGCAAGGAATTTATATGGCAAGGCCATGTCTCAGTGTTTGTAACTTGATGCAAGGAATTTATATGGCAAGTCCATGTCTCATTATTTATTTGTATCTTGATACAAATCATTTATATGGCAAAGCTATGTCTCAGTGTTTGTAAATTGATGCAAAGAATTTATATGGCAAGGCCATGTCTCATTGTTTGTTTCATGATCGTTTATCCGCACACCTCTATTTGTAAATGGTTTTCACTGTTTGAAAACAGTTTCACCATCATCTTTACCAAGTAATTTATAGTCTTGATGTTTATACAATCATATAGATATTTTCTAGGTGTCTGCGGTACCGGTACAGAAAATTTAAGGTCGGTACGGTACAATATTTTGTACCTCGGTTCTCATTACAAAATCAGTACGGTACGCGGCTACCCGTATTTTTGCGGTTTTCTTCTCAGAACTGTATTTAAACCATTATTTTTAATTTTAATACATTGACATTACTATGAAAATGGATAGTACATTCATTGTTTAACTAACAACAATTACTGTACCACACATTATTAAAACCTTTTACTTCTAGGCCTATGAGGCTTGTGTGAAGAAAAATCACAGTTAAGATAAAGGCTTTACCTATTTTACTTTGAATAGCCATGATAAAGTGGTTTTAAAATCAGGATAAGAATGTTTAGGAATAAACATGTTTGAAGCATTAATTGACTAGATAATTTCACACAACTGGTCAATTATTTCCAACCCACACAATGTCTAGTTGTTTTTTAAACTTTTAAAAACATATAAAAGCATTCAGTACGAAAACAGTGTAGTTGCCAGCTGTTTTCACATTCAACAGATGACAATGAAAAACAGGATGTTATGATGAAGTAATGGCAAAGAGCATCTTTTTTATCAGCTTGAAAACTAATTATAAGATGGATACATCTCTTGCAAAGATCTTTCTGAAACTAAAATTTGGATTACCACAGAGTAATATTATTGTCTTTTCATTTACAAAGTTAATATCCACATGTATCAATCATTAGTTCATCTCAGACTCAATCAAATTTTCTTATTATATTTTAAAGCTCTTCAAAAGAGTCAAAAGACCCAGGCATAGACCTAATTAATTAGGATGGCCTATTAAAAATTGAGTAGGTTACAATGAGGGTAGCAAAATCACTATCATAATTCTAGTTCATAAGATTTAGATTGCATTAAGTACCTTCAACACAACAAAAAAAAATATAGGAAACAAAAAACATTCAAACCTTAACAGCCACATCGATATAGAACATGCAATGACATAATTTAAGGCCGAGTATATTATGCAAACAACTACTACTACTACTACTACTACTACTACTACTACTACTACTACTACTACTACTACTACTACGCTTGTGGTTTCATCAAAGAAAGATAAAATATCCATAACAAATATCTTAACTAATAAAATAAGATTGTAGATTAGTTACAAGTTTAATATGAAGCCATAAAAAATTGTATGGCAGTAGGCAATGGCCAGCGGCAAATTGAATATTCACGAAAATACTGACTGAATTAGAGATAAAATTTACAACCATCATAAAACTATTACTTTTATGATAAAATAGAATTGGGGAAAGTCGGAAAGGAATAAAAGTGATAAAACTCAACAGTTCTTGGAAGTACTTGAATACAATAATTATTGTCGTGATAAAATGTTAATAGATTTGGGACTGCTAATGGGTTTTTTATTGCATCATCACCCTAGTAATAAATTGTGAAGATAAACAAACATCAGATAAGACTTTTATGTGCTCAGAACCAACCACGTTGACTGATAGTAAATGATAACTAATTTATTATTATAATAGGCTGTACCGAACCGAATTTGTACCGCATAAAATGTACCGCTGTACCGAACCGATGACGGTAACTAACTTTGTACCGTACCGTACCGACTTTTTCGGTGCACCGCAGACCCCTAATATTTTCTAAATGTTGAAAGTGATTTAGTTTAATTCTTATTTCAACTAATAAGATAAATGTTCAGAATACTTTATTATTTGACTTGGTCAAACTTTAGTTTTTCTATAATTTTGACTTTGTCAATGTTATCTAAAACATCCATGAAACACACAAAACTTCATTATTACACACAACAGGAACTATACACAGGAGTTTTATGGTAAAAGAATATTTCCTGAAATTATACTGGAATTTCCTCAAAAATGCGCTGATTTTTCTTTCACATGGTTAAATATTGCGATACTAGGGTGTCCAGCAGACCTGGAAACCGGTAATAGTACGTGAATTTTTATGACTAGGAAAGATCTGTGAATTGTACATGAATTTTTTAAAGAACTGGGAAATTGATATGTTTTTAATAGTCGCCAAAAAAATCCGCCCGAAATCGCCGATTTGTTGTATTGCGTAGTTGAATATCGCGATTGTGGGAAACTATTGTGAAAAACGGGGGCGTTGCAGAGATCGCAAGAAATGTCCTAGATCTCCTTTATGAGTCACATGGCAAATCGAAGATAAAACCTGTATATTTGACAAATGTTTTCAATAAAGAGTAATTCTAGCAAAATTATTGTATTCCTAATGATTTTCAGAGGAGTGCTGCAGACTCTAGTTGAAAAACATTTTCCTGCTCCGGATAGAAATCGTATCTCAAGATTGTTAGGGTTAGAAGCTCCAAAGAAAGAAAAGCACAATCATCTAAATGGGGCTGACACAGGAGGAGGAGGAGGGGAAGGAAGCTCTGGCGGAAACAAACGCAAACCAGGTAAGCCTGTCTGTTACAAGCTCAAATCTTTGAATGTGGGCAAATGTTGTTCAAACATTGAAAAGCAAGCAAATTCAACATGTAACATATGTAAACGGGGTAGCGGATTTTTATCCCCCTGGAATTTTACCCCCTGGGCAAACGTGACGTCACAAACCAGGGGGTAAAATTCCGGCCGAACTTTTGAGTTTCGCGGCATCAGCTCGATGGATTAAACGCGGAATTAAAAATATATTTTCACGGTTGTGAGTTTAATCAGAACACATCAAACTATAAAAACCTAGAATGTACGGCCCGGATTTTTACCCCCGGAATTTTACCCCCCGGATTTTAACCCCCGGATTTTTACCCCCGGAATTTTACCCCCTGGCCAGATATATAAATTAGTGAGAATGATTAATTATCGTCATTCAGTTTTAATTTAATGGTAAACATTTTATTATTAAGTAGCCTATCTTAATTTATATGTAACATTAACTAATCGAACAGGGTTTTAATATTAATTTTGAGATTCGAGTGTCAGGATTCGATCTTTGAAGCCAACTGTTGGTTAATATGATCAAAATAAAACAGCGAATTCTGTTTACTGTCCTTAGTTGAGATTACAAAATAAATAAATAAAGATAGGCTACTAAATAATGAAATGCTTACAATTAATTAAAAACAGAAATAAGAAAATCAATCATTCAATTTCTAAAATCAGCCAGGGGGTAAAATTCCAGGGGGTAAAAATCCGGGGGTAAAATTCCGGGGGTAAAAATCCGGGGGTAAAATTCCGGGGGTAAAAATGCGGCCCGTACATCTTCAGTTGTCTAAACGCTAGTTATATGGACAGGGGGTAAAATTCCGTTTTTTATCGCTAATCTAATTAATCACGCTCTGACTATTTTCATTAGACTTCCAAATCCGCGGGGGTAAAATTCCGGCCGCGAACAAACTTTTGGCCACTCAGGTTACTACGTCATAGTGACGTCAGCTTTGCCCAGGTGGTAAAATTCCAGGGGGATAAAATTCCAGCGACCCATGTAAACATTTAACTAAAAAATTATTTTTCTACATCTTAACTCTTTTAACAGAACTATAATTTAGGATCATTTTTTATGTTAGCCTCCAGATTACGTTGAATATATAAATTGCTCATTATCCCCTGAAAAAAAAAACAATAAATAAATACAACTGATCTAAAATTGCTTTTAAATCTAATCATTACTATAATGCATTTATTACTTTATACCTTTTTGTGCAATATGGGTACTTTTGGTTTTATACATACAGTATTTTCTCCTTTTTTTAAGTAGGCTATAGTTTTTAGTGTATCTTAAATTCAAAAACATATTCCTTCAGACCTAATGGTGGTCAGGAGTTGTTTGACATTGTATAATCATGTGGTCATTCTGTACAGTGAGGCAAGCAGCAGCTCGTGCAGTCAAGAGGGTAAGGAAGGATTCTTCTGACTCTGATTCTGAACGAGGTTTTAGCTCGGACTCTGACTTTAAACTCAGCCCTTCGGAAGACTCTGCTGCGGAAATATCTGACGAAAGCAACGCCAGCAGTGATTTTAACCCGTTTGATGATGGTAGCGACAGTGAGGGTGAGTCTATAGATAGAATATTTGTTTATCTTAGAGATGGACGAGATTGTACTTTAAGATTGGGACGCGGTGGATTATACATATAATGTATATCCAAAAGATTTAGATAAAATAATGAACATAATATGTGCTTTATTTAATTTTTTTACATCTGGATAGTAAAGTCGAGCTGAGCCACACGGTAATGCACATAAGCAACAATCATTGGCAGTATGACTCATCTGGGTGGGACTCTGAGTTGGACCAACTTGTATACACCATTCATGCATACACTTGTATATATCTGTAGACATAGACATAGACATATTTTATTTGCACATAACATTCCTTACATGTGTTGGTACATACAGAATAGGTACATTGACAGAGTTAAATGATCAGAATATAAAAAATAAAGTTGTAATCAAGAAGATAATGTAAATTAACAAAATTGAATGATAAAAATATTCTAAACTAAAGGGGTATTGTGAAAATCTGCACTTAAATAAAAGGCTCTGTCAATTAAGTGTTCACCTATTTTATCTTTAAAATTATTTTCACTTAACAACTTATAGTTTGCAGGCAGCACATTGTACAGCCTCAGCCCAGTATATAGCAGACTTTTTTCATAAAGGGTTAAACGGTGCCTTTGTAAATCAAAAAATGTTTTCATTACAAGTATTATATCTGTGGTTGATTTGGTTGGTTTCTGGGAGGTCAGAATATAAAAAATAAAGTTGTAATCAAGAAGATAATGTAAATTAACAATTTATAGTTTGCAGGCAGCACATTGTACAGCCTAAGCCCAGCATATAGCGGACTTTTTTCATAAATGGTTAAACGGTGCCTTGGAAATCTAAAAATGTTTTCATTTCGAGTATTATATCTGTGGTTGATTTGAATGGTTTCTGGGAGGTTGTTTTTAGCTGAATGAATGTAGTTTAGTGATTCCAAAATGTACAATCCTAGAACAATGTACAATGTAATGTTCTACAATGTAGAAAGTATATATGAATTGAATTTGAACTTCCATATTCAATAAAAAAAAGGGTAATTTTCATATCAATATATGCTTTATTGTACTCATTAGTCTCATAATATTTTTAGATCCTTGGGTTGGTCGCAAGAAAAAAGGTAAAAAGAAGCCTCCTGCCAAAAAGCGTCAGTCCACTCAAGACAAGATTGACTCGCTCCTCTCTCGAACTAAACCTGGGGACAACAACAAACCTCCTCATCTGCTTCCCCAGAGGGATGCCATAGAACGGGCCTGCTCCATGAAGGAAGATCTGCTGATGAAGATTGAAAGGCTCGGTGAACGACTGCCTCCCAACACTCTAGATCAGCTTATAGATGAGTTAGGAGGCCCAGAAAACGTGGCTGAGGTAAGATATACTGCTGTGGCATTTTCAGTTTTTTTTCATTGGAATTACCACCTTACTTGAGATAGAAAAGATTATGAGTACTCATGAAGAAAGATTATTTGACTATGACCTTGGCTATGGGTCTACTTTACTGGCTCAAGATGAACAGTTGCCTCGTTAAAACTGCTAAAACAAAGATATTGTTATGTTATCATTAAGATTGAGTCAAAAATATTCCTACCTTGGTACTTATGATTTTTTCATGATAACAAAATCAACTATTACAAAATTAGTTATATTCATTTTTCTTCTTGACTAGTATTGACATCCGTATTGACTTATTACAATTGATTCTTGTTACTGATACCAATCTCCAAGAATTGGTGGTATCAAGAATTGTTTTCTAGAATTGATATTTTTACTAACACAACTCAACTTGATCTAACTTTTAAAAGAAAAATGAAAATATCGAGCAAGGCTGCATTTGGAATGGACTCATTCTTGATGTTTTTTCCACATCTCTGTGTTGTTTCAATTTAACAAACAATAAATATTCTTAAAAAGTTTGAATCGCTTTTTAATTATCTATAAATATCCCTTCTTTTAAAATAATGCATCTTAGAGCCTCTCATTAAATAAAGAAACCTTTAAAAATAGGTTCTTCATATAAACAATTAAGAAGTATCAAAAATTCATTCTGAATGTCTACAAATACATTTCAATCATATATTATGGATTCAAAATTGACTAAGGTATAAAAAGTTATTTGAGGCAACTGTTTTTACTACCTTAATAATTTATAGGATTTAAAAACATTTTACTGCCATAGTTGTAACTGAATATAACGTATATTGTTGTTTTAACTAGATGACTGGACGAAAGGGGAGGGTTGTACAAACTGAAGATGGAGGGATCCAGTATGAATCCCGATCTGAGGTCGACTGTCCACTTGAAACGCTCAATCTAACTGGTGAGTCAATAAAAGCTATAAGATTCTACGATCAACAAACATTAACAATCTCAGGAGGAACTTAAACCTACATATTCCACTATCTCGTACCACTTTCCATAAAAACCAATCATTCTCTATGTGTATCAGTCTTTTTAATTCTCTTCCTAATAGAATCAAGGGCGAACATGATTTAAAAAAATTTAAGCGTGGTCTGAGGGAATATTTAGTTGATAAGGAATTTTACAGAGTTTCTTCTTTTTTAAATTGTAAATAGTTTGTACCTTTTGAAGTTTGTATCTTTATTTTAATGGGTCTGATTTTACTCGTTTAGTTTTAGTGACTTTTGCCCTGTACATTTATGTATTATTATGGCAATAAAACATTCTGATTCTGATTCTAAATATATTTATTTTATCGACTTCATTGCTCTCACTCCTAATTATTCGTATGAAACGACATTATGGTACGATACGATATAGGTACTACACTTTCGGCAACACTGGCCAAAAATCTTCGTGCTTGGCTCCCATTGGACGGCCTGCGAGGCTTCTGATTGGGAGTTAGCGAGTTCCGCCGAGGGACCGAGTTAGCGACTTCCGCACGAGGACGGAATTTGCTAACCCGGCTCTATAGTGGGTTAGCGGGTTCTGGAGTTAGCCAATTCCGAAACCGAAAAAGTTAGCGTGTTCCTCTCATCGACCAAATTTGAAGATAAGGCGTTTAACATGGGGTTAGCGAGTTCCAGAGTTAGCCAATTCCGCGGACCCTTTTTTTTATAATCTCGAAAAAATCTTGATCAAAATAACATCACGTCTTGTAGAAGGAGATTTAAAATATTCCGAAATTTCGAGACCCGTCCATCTCTAGTTTTCAATGTAATGATTTTAATAATTAACTTTTAATTTAGGATTTTCAATGAGGATAGCAGGCTTACTTAAATGTGAAAGAGTCTAGACTGGAATAAGAAACACAAAATTTACACAATTGTACACCAAACATTATAACATCTCACTGGCACTGAGAGAAGTTTCAGCTAAGGACTACTTTTAAGTGTTAAATCAATTAAGCATATTTCTTTTCAGTAAATGCACGTAATTGTACAAACAATAGTGTCAATGTTTCCTAAAAAATATTTAGAAGTAGACTATTGAGTTAAAAAAGATTCCAATTTTGTTTTCCATTCTTTGAGGGATAAGAGGCACCTTTGATTTGATCTATGTTTGGTGATGACTTGGTAAATGTACATATAGCTGTGAAATATGAAAATAGATGTGTAGATAAAAATTGAAATAAGGAACAATTTGTAAGTATACTGCCCAGGTATATATATAGCCTACGGTGTGTTAGACGTAAAGAATTAATTTATCTAAATCTCTATTAATTTTGTACACATACAATAATAGCGTCATAAAATATAAAAACTTCTACTGTACAAAAGGTATAGGAACATTTCCATAGTAACTTAATGTACCATAATAACTTTGACCATAGTAACTTTTGTTTGGTTTTGAGGCAGTTGAAAAATGTAAAATTTGTTTCATGTGCAAATTGTTTCCTTTTCATTATTACTTTCCTTCTAATTTATCTTGGCCAGTTGATGAAGCAATAATTCTCTATAAGTTATACTACCAACAAAATAAGAAAAACAATTTACATTTAATATTCAAAAATCTGTTAACGATTGTTGTTAACGATCTGTTGCACTATTATTATTAACATTTCATTTTAATCTTCCCTCATCTCCATCACACTACTTTCATTGCAACACTTGGTCAAATTAGGTGATGAAACCTTGGTTTCATATTCTCGACTCCCGATTAACCGTAGTCGGATTAAGATGAAACCCTGGTCGAATTAAATAGTTTTTGTATATTTTATATTGGTTTTGTATAGTTTTTACCTTTTTAATCATCCAAGGCTGGACTAAACCGAGTATCTTACTCACTAGCCTATATATTTTCATAAGACAGTTTCTTTGCAGAATCAATAATTTGTTTTGAATTTTTCCAGAAAAACAAAGGTTCATGGATGGAGAGAAGGATGTAGCCATTATCTCAGAAGCGGCCAGCTCTGGTATCTCGCTGCAGAGTGACAGACGAGCCCGCAACCAGCGACGGAGGGTTCACATCACTCTAGAGCTACCATGGAGTGCAGACAGAGCCATACAACAGTTCGGTAAGATATAACACGAGAAGTGGGGACGTGGGGTATTGTTGATGTAACTCAGTGTAGGCCGAGACAGGAAAATTCCAACAGTTATTTTGTTTCTTTAGACATAGACGTATTTTATTTACACAAAACGTTCTTTATAAAGTACAATTCGTATATAAGAACAGGTGTTCCCTCATAGTGATGTATTTTATAATAAAATTAATAGTTAATATAATTAAAATAAACTCAAGTAGGAAATCAGAGAATTTGTATCTACACTATAGGGTTCTCCAAAAATCATCCAGTGAATATATTGAGGGCTGTTCCTGAATATTGTCAACTTGTGATGTGGTAATCTGAAATTATATTTATTCCTTGTAGGGTATTGTAATTATGTGTAAATTTTTCTTCGTCTGACAAATGTTCTTTAGTGCTATGAATCCAATTTAGAATTTAATTTAGCCTATGTAGGCTATAATCAAAAAATGGTGTGAATTCTAAGATTTTAAAACAGGTTTTTACACGATTTTCTCCTTATTGATTTAGTTTAAGAACTGAATGATTTTTTTCTGTAAAATTATTAGGGATTTGACCTTTGTTGACACTCCCCACAGTATGTTTCCATTCCTCAAGATGGATTCAATGTATCCTTAGTAAACTCTGATACATGTATCCTGGGGTACACAGTTTATCAGGTGAAAGAAAGCAAAAAAATCTTATCTACGTGAATCTTCCAATTAATATGAGTATCAAGTAATACACCCAAAAGTCTATGAGATTCTACTAAATTTGGAATTTTATCGAGAATTAGACAGTTTTTTTTAGGAAAAATTAATTATATGAGTTTTGTCAATATTTAGTTTCAAACCATTGTCTGAAACCTAATTTTTCATACAATCCAAAGTTTTTTCCATTCATACAATCAAGTTACTTATCCTCTCTTATGATTGCTGTTGTATTATCAGCAAATAATATTAAATCTCTGTCAATAGCTTTTGGAAAATAATTCATTAATAAAGATCAGGAATAGCAGAGTGCCCAATATTGACTCTTGGGGTACACCATAATTAGATAAATTCCCTGTTTGACATATGTTTCACATCGATTTTGGTCACTATTGTTCTATACTTTCTATTCTGTAAATAAGCGTCTAACAAAAAAAAATCATTTACCCTATTCTTTAATGAGATTCGTCCTTAAGCAAAGTCTTGGTTGTTAAATGTTTTAAAAAGAAAATCAACCTCGTGGCTCTCATCTGACCCTTTTTATTTAATGGCCATTTTGATTGTGATAAAATAAAATAGTGGTTTAAATTTTATGTTAATGTTAGACCATCTTTGTATGTGATTTATAGGCAATTTTTTTAACATCTTAATTTTCAAAACACATAGATTTAGTTTATTAAGTTTTCATATTACAAAGGTTTGAATGTGTTATGTTGATTATACAATCTACATTTTGATTTTAAAATGGGCAATTTTTATTTTTGTAACTGTTTAGGTCAACTACATATGGATTGAGTTCATTAAATTTAATGACTTGCAGCCTTAGAAGTTGAAGGTACATTTGTAATTTTAAGTCTGGTTTGTAAGTGATGTCAGTTTTGTTGTTTCGAATACTCACTAAACTGCTGTTATGGTTTTAAAGTCCATCACTCATTCATCCATTAACTCGCCAAATAACATTGTAAAAGTAAAGTAAGTTGTATGGTTGATTAGTTAACAACACCTTTTCTTCAGGTCGAACACATCGAAGTAACCAAGTGAACGCTCCTGAATACATCTTCCTCATCTCAGACCTCGCCGGTGAAAGAAGGTTCGCCTCAATTGTAGCAAAAAGGTTGGAAAGTCTGGTAAGTTATATTTCATCAATTATATTTCGTTTTTACTCTTGCTGTGTCAACATTTTACAGCTAAAACAAGAATCAAGATATTCTAATAGTCCTTTTAACACAGGAATAAGCTTTACGACAATTTTTACAGCAAAGTGTATTTATAATAATTTAAATTTATTTTCTAGTTAAAAGTTTAGTAATTTTGAAATTCATGAAATATATAGCAGAGGAAAGTGGATGTTAAATAAATTACTAGTAAACTTCTAACTGAACCCCTTAGATTATAGTTTTTTGCATAACTTATTGTACAAAAAATGCTTTTGGGGGACTGCGTAGCATTCTCATGTGGTAAGCACTTTTCAAAGCTCCTACCATATCCTATAATAGTTGCTTAATTACTTGTGATCCAAAATGCTTTCTGAAAGAATGTTGAACATTCAAACTGTGTTGTTTGTTCTTTGATAAAAACTTCATTTACCCTTTTCGCCTTTTCCTATCTATATACTCTTCACCCTTTTTTTGCCCTACTCTTAGAACATATCACTCAAATTAGGTCAAAATTTGATTATTAGACATGTTTGTAGTTCTACTGTACTTTAGATTTGATGTTTAGCTATTTGCTGTATTTGTGTCTTGTAGGGAGCTCTTACTCATGGTGATCGTAGAGCCACTGAGACCAGAGACTTGTCTCGTTTCAACATTGATAACAAGTATGGTCGTGCTGCTCTTGAGGCCACCATGAAGACTATCATGGGCTATGAAAGCCCGCTAGTTCCTCCTCCTCAAGATTACAAGGGAGACTTCTTCAAGGGTATGTCAAGTTGAGAAGTCCTTATCATAGGAATTCTCTCTCTTAACATTGATCTAAAATTTGATGCATACAATTATTTTTTGAATGACTGCCTGATTTTCCACTTTAATCATCAGAATGTTGGCAGCACCTCATGGCTACCCTTCATGTTCACACACAATTCACTTATTTTAGATACGTAGCCCAGGAATTAAACTCAAAAACCTTATCTTAAAAAAGAACCTTTTTATACTTATAACCTAAAATTTAACAAGAATACAGAGAATAAGTATTAATGAGTTTACATTCCTATGGCTATTAAATTGTAATAATTCTTAGCAAATATTATGATTTAAAGCTATTCGCCTAGTAAAAAAAGTTAGAATATTCAAAATAAAATTGTAAAGTACTCATTTTTCCTAATTATATGTTATTTGATCACAAATGACCTTGGTTTAAGCTCTTAACAGGTAACTTATTGAAGCAACCAATCTTTAACTTAACTATCTTTTAAATTTGTATATATGAGATTTGTTGTGTTTTAGATGTCGCTGATGCTCTGGTAGGAGTCGGAATTATAATCAATAGTGATTCAATGCCAGGAGTCTTAATGCTGGATAAGGATTACAACAATATGAGCAAGTTCCTGAACCGGATTTTGGGCATGCCTGTGGAGCTTCAAAACCGGTTGTTTAAATATTTCACTGACACTCTGCAAGCTATCATCAGCCAGGCCAAGAAATCTGGAAGATTTGATCTCGGAATATTAGGTATATCCTTGAATTTCCCTCTCTGTCATTGTGTAATTTGTCCTAGAATGATATAACTATTCGTTTACACCTTACTGTATCTATCTTTATATAAAACTCTTTCATGTTATTTTTTTCAAATTTTAAGTACTGCGATTCATGCAGTCTAGCTACGTTTACAATCCAGATCAATCATGGTTGACTTCTTTAACATGAAAAACACTGTTTTTTTGTTGATTAACCGATCATTGGTGACAGACCTGGGCACTGCCGGGGAGAATGTGAAGCGAGTCAAGTTGTACACATTCCTGCGCAGACACGCCACAGGCTCGGCCACAACAGAGCTTCACATCGTTCATGTGGAGCGCGGCATGAGCTGGGACGAGGCAATGGAGCGGTGGGCAGAACTCGTAGGACCTCACGAAGGTTTCTACCTCTCACATCAGGTAGGTGATTATTGCATGACCAAATTACATGATTAGTAGACTCCCTCTTATCCGAACTCCTCGGGACCGAGGTCAGTCCGGATAACGGCTTTTCTGGTTAAACCGACGTCCCCAAAAACTCGTTAAAACGGACCTTTTAAATGCATACTGTATACAGTTATTTGACTTATATTTAGGAGAGCATTGTATTTAGACACGTGATCACTGGTCTCAAATCTTTCCCACGAGAACAGTCGTTTCAGTCCTTTTCCTCCCGATCTAGTCCGGTTAAACCGATGTCCTGATAATAAAAATTGTCTGGTTAAAGAGATGTCATTTCCGCCGAGTGTAGTCCGGTTAAACCGATGTCCGGATAAAAGGTGTCCGGATAAGAGCGAGTCAATTGTATTTGGATCATTTAATTTAAATTGCATTCGTTTATTTTCTCGTGTACCAAAAAAATACACCTACACCTCAAATTAGTCAAGGCTTTATCTTAGACATTTTAACTGTAAAAAATTGACATTTAGTTTGCTGTTTAGAGTGCTGTAACTTTTTTAACCATCAAGTCTAACAGAAATAGTTAAGAACAAAAATACCAAGTGAAACGTTTTGTATTTCAGATCAGAAATGGTAAACAGACTGCAATATTGGCCCTATGTCCAGAAGCTACAAACACCACTAAGAGTGGCAAGAAGGCTGAGACGGCCAAGAAGGATCAGTTGTACACAATATACAGACCTAACACTGGACTACAGGTAATTTATCTCTTAGTCTTAATTTGATGAATAATAATTCCTTTGTCTTTGATTGTTCACAGTTCAAAAATCTTTATTTTCTGCGTATGATTTTGATACAAATACTCCCTTGAGCCATGCAGGAAACATGCACAGTAATATTTATCCAAAAATTGGTTTAAATACATTCATAATATTTTCAAAATATTTGTAAACGTTCACAATTTTTAAACAATTCTAAAGTTATACAAACACTCCTTACCTCGTGCTAATACATTATAGCACAACTTCATCCCTATCAGACTGTAAAACAAATTCTACAACCTTTTTCTTTAATATCTCCTAACCTAACTGTCAACATAAACTTGATTTCCAAAAATGTTTACTAGATTATTGTTTGGGCCCGAGAGTACTGAATTGATGCCTACTGATTTCTTTTGCACAAATCCTTTCGTGAATAAGATCAAACTGCACTGAAAGAGTATCTCTAACCACTGGTCTAGCATTAAACAGAATAATATACTTTTTTACATACATTAGAAAGCTATACACATGCAACTGGTTAAATGGTAATAAATGATTTTTGAGAAACGAGTCTTCAAACATTGTCTTCTCAGTACAAAACTGTTTTAGAGAGTACTCAAGGCAAGAAAATACAAATAACACATCTAAACTGCCAGTTTAGAAACTGGGGAAAAAGTGAATCGTGCTTAGTTTTATGGGACCATAAAATTTTGGATTTTGAATAATTGTTAAGAAAATCCACTAATAATTGTTGTTAGTTCTTTGTTTGAAGTAAAAAAAAAAACAACATAATGGCAAATGCAAATGTTTATTGCTGAACTTTTTCATTGTTGTGGGATCTCAAAATCAGCTGATCAAATTGGTAAGGTTATTTTAGCTGTTGCTATTCTTAATGCTGTTCCTATTGTGCAAGTATTTTTACCCTGAACATCCTTTAGCAACCTCTTTGTGGGACACCCAGTACATAGTTTCAACATCAGCCGATTTAGTTTAGTTATAAAAATAACAAATAGTTTTAAAATATGTATCCTCATAAAAAGAAGGTAGTTTTCATGTGAACAGATGTTATGACGCTTTTGAAATTTTTTACATTCAAACATTAAGTTAGAATCTATACAGTGTTTCAAAACTTGTTACACATTTTTCATTCAAAAACTTTGTTTTCATAACTTTATTTACAGTGAGAAGGATTTTAATTACTGGAATCCTTGTATATAATTCACACACACACACACACACACAAATATAATTGCACATGTCTTGGTAGCAAATTAAATTAGCAAATCATATAGCAAATTCTGATTTTTTCATTATGTTTGTTTTTCAAAATATTTAAAGCAATTATTTTACACTATTTGCAGCTCAGGCAAGAAACACTTGGCGAGCTTGAAAAGAAGTACAAAAAAGTAGAATGTTCAGATGCTGAGAAGCACTGGAAACAGCAGTACGAGTCCTCAGAGAGTACCTGCTCACATGCTTATTGGTGAGTTAATGCTAGTCTGTTTATTTGTATATTTATATAAGATTTATATATTTATTATTTGTAGGTTTATATATGTATAGCTATATAGGAATGGACACTGAAGACATGGTTTAGAAAACATTTGCAGCACATGGGTCAGTATGACGGGAACCTACACTACAGGTTGTGGAGAAGGAAAAGATAATTCTGATCATTTACTGTTTGACACTAAGGAGCCCAACAAAGTAAGGCCACAAGTAAACAACATCCTCCTCATACAAGTAAACCACTTGTATAAGGAGGGGCTGATTAATATGTACTAGGAATAATTATTAAGATGCACAATAATGTTAACCTGAATCAACCACATAGACACCTTCACCCGCCCTAAATGAGATACAAGAACTGGAAAACAGTACAAAACCTTATAGACTTCTCTATATGCACACATAAAGACACATTTATATTTACAAAATCATGTACAAGCGTGCAAGGCCGGCCAAGGACAAAACCAGACCCATAAAAAAGACATTTACTGAAGGCGCTGAGACTGCAAGTTATAATCACGGCTGTTGCCGCGGTCGCGGGAGACGATTACTGAAGTCACCGAGACTGCAAGCAACATTCCTGGGCAGACGATTACCGATGTCGCGGAGACTGCAGGTTATGCTCATCCCGATACCCAAACTTTTGGCCATATGAGGGGTTCTACTGTACGTATAGAGTTGTGTTATCAAGGTTGATTTGTCAAAACTATTTGTTTTACAGGTTCTGAGCTACATTGTGATTTAGAAATAAGGTTTTTACTAAGGTGGTTTTTATCAAAATAGTCAGAGAGAGAGAGAGAGAGGTTAATTTATAGAGGTTAGTTTTATTTGCACATAGAATTTGCGAAGACTGCAAGTTATGCTCACGGCTGTTGCCACGGTCGTGGGAGATGATTACTGAACTATCGTTTTCAAGGCGATTTGATAAGCGCACTTGTAATTGGGTTGGTTGTGTTAATGATGGTTGTGGTTCTACTGCAACAATAGATATTTTCTGACCATGTTTCTATGATTTGTTAAACAGGAGAGGGAACTGCAAGAATGTGACACTGGGACTGGACTGTGAGGTAGGTCTGCGGAGGCGGACTTACAATGTCTTGGCTGGCTCTGTACTAAGTGTGTGGACAAGAGTAGAGAATATCCTCCAAGCCAAGACAGGCCATCAAACCAAGATGCAAGTTGTACGCTTACGCACAGCAGAAGGCATCAAAATTGTTGGTAAGTCAAATATTTTCCCTCACTAACAATCATTTATACCAACACCAAACAGTAAAGGGAAAACACATTTTTCTCAAAATCTTTGAAGTTCAAAATTTACTTTAGTGAAAACTAATTTATTATAATTTGTTGGAACTAGCTGCTTTACTAACATTCTGTCTGTGATTGAGCCATGAGCATTAAGTACAAATGTCTTCCAGACATTGAAGTCACATTTGTATCAAGGTCAATAAATTAAAATATTAACAAACAATTAGTTTTTTTTTTCCAAAATATCAACAAAACTAGGACCAAAATGAGAAAGTGAAGTGGTATATTATATGAATTGTGTACTATAAATAAAATAATGCAGATGTTGTCTTATTCCATATCTATCACTTAGCTGTCTTTTTAAGGTACATTGATTCCAAAGAGCTGTGTAGAACCCTTGAGAGAAGCACTTGCTACAGATTCAGAAAAGACCAATGAGGAAGTGTTCTAAACATAATGAGTTTTTGTGTCTAACGTAGACATAATATAACTACTATGTATTATGCAGATCTTTTCACAGTACACAGTGATCTTACAATCTATTCCTTTTCATTTTGTGTATAGATTATTCGCTCTATGTATTGATCAACTGTTTTAAACGGTAACACCAATGATTTATGTTAGCATTTGATTACTTTGTGACTTTGATAATTGTTCCTTAGCCGATTTAGGTTCTTTGTATAATTGTTATAGCTAGAAAATCCAGTATTTTGTGATCATTTTCCAAGCATAATTGTTATCATTTAGATCTTGTTAATTGTCTAATTATTAGTCCACGGATCATTTAATCTTGCATGTTTGAATTGACCATTTTGTAGATAAATAAGTGAATCATAAATCCAGTTTTAATTCAAACCCCATAAAAACAAGCAATCAGATATATATACATATATATAATTATTTTTATAAACCGATTATTGTTTATTCCGTTTTAATTCTGTTGTATTTATTTTATATTTACATAATTTTGACATAGGTCTATTAAAATTGTTGTTAATCGCGTAGTATAGGTACAACTAACATAATTAGATAAAATGTTGAAGCATGTGTATTTTGACTCTCGATGATCAGTTTATGGCTATTAATTATATTTGTTTGTGTTGTTACATCCTGATTGTTTGTGATCATAAATTTGTGTGAAACTAATTCTTCACCATTTTAATGCGACGAGTATTTTGTAACAATTGAGATTAACTTCTATGTGTATATTTATTTTAACGTTTTAATCATTATCAGTTTACATAGAGTTTATTTTTTTATCCGTTTATACTGTTTTAATTTGTCATGATATTTGAATTGCTACAATAGCTTGTTTCATAGAAACTTTATTTTATTGTAAATAACTCTAATGTATCAGGTTTTAATCTTTAACTCCAAATCAGTTACAGAAAAGTGGTTATAGTTATTTTTGTACGGTTTTTATATATTAAATGTTTGATGTTATTGTTTAACCCTCTCAGTCTGTATTTTGGTTTTTGTTATCAAGTTTTTACTGGTACAAATCAAAATGTAAAGACATTTTTAATAATTCCCTCTTTTTTTTACTTTCTTGATTTAATTGGTGATTGCTAATGGACTGATGCAATATTTTACCTCTGCCTGACTGTTGTAAAATCACAAAGTCTGAATACATGAAATCAAGATATATCAGCATTGTCAACAACTAATAGCTTGTCTAAACCTGAATTCAACAAAGACTATGCTTTCCTGGGAGGGTTAACTTTTTTAAATTGTTGTATTTATCTTTATATTTGCCTTATTATTTACTCATAAAAAATTTAGTTCAAGACCAAAGAATTCAAGGATGAGATTTAAATTTAGTTAAATTGTTTGTTAAATTATTTTGTTTCCTACAAGTTTTGGTTGACTTCTATTTAATTTTAAGAATGTTTAAGACGAGTTTGAAATAAAAATGACTAAAAATGAGTTCACGAAGAATAACTAAATAACTTAGAAATTATCAGAAATATGTTTGAAAATGGACAGAGTTTAGCTAACTTACTTACCTACCTAAAGAAATCCCTAGACTAAAGAAGTGTCCAAGGACTAAAAGGTACACAGTAAAAAGTTACAACACCAACATTGCGACCTAAAAGGACTTCTTCAAAATGTATGTTTGGAAAGATATTTCTCTAAGCTACCTAGACTCTATCCATTTTCTAAAAAAACAATAATTGTTCAAATTGTTGTATATGTATATATGTGCCTGTGAATGCGATAACTTGAGCAATTGTGGACTGATTTTGATTAAATTTGACATGCAAGTGTAGGGCTGGATTAACTTTGATGAGTTCACGAACCACCAAGATCTGGTAATTGGAACGGGGTGTTATTTGGTTTTAAAATTTGTAAAAAAATTGTTATAAAATTTACACTTGAAACACAAAAATGCCCAATATTCATTGCAGCCAAATATTAGAGAAACAACAATTTAGTGTATTACATGATTGTTCTGTGACATTCAGTTACTGAGATATTTAGTGATAAATACAGTACATTGTATCCTATGTTATCCTTATAGCTGATAATTTATTTCTTGTAGTTTGCTTGGATATGGAAATATCAAGATAACCTTTGGCAAATTTTAAATTTCCCAGTAAGCTATCGACATTTTACTAAAAATCTCTTTATTACCTTCCCTGTAGCATCAAACAAACCTAAGTCAACATAATGTTATTTATCTGACATGTTAAGGAAATATTTTGGTAAAAATCCAACCAGGCAAATTGAAACTTGCTTAATTTGCAGTTTTGCAGGGGAGGTATTTTGATTTTGTAACTATACAGTATACATAAACATTATATTTCTTCACAGATTAGGTTTTTGTGATATTTACAGTAGTAGAGTCAAGAATGTTCGTTGTTAGTAAATAAATTAAAGTTAAATGATAATAGGCAAGAAATTGAAGGTTAAAGTTCCATAATTAATTGAGGTGGTTTGATTTTAAACCAATTTAAGGGTTAGTTTAGCAGCAGCATGGGATTTGAATAAGTCTCTGTTTTATTTTAGCATATTTATATATACAATCAACTTAAAACATAATATGTGTTTGTGATAATTTTTCATAATCATAATGAAATACTATCTAAATATGTACTGCATTGTTTACTCATACTTTTAATGTGTCTATTTCAAGTTTATAAACTATCGTGTAAAGTAAACACTTTAAATATTGACTGCAAATTTTATGTAAAGTAGGAAATTTACATCTACGTAAGGTATTTTGGTTGAGGTTCATTCAGCTCTGGATTGATTAAAACTATCAATGATATAAAAAAAGCTTACCTTAGCAATGTTTCATTCTTATAATCAATTCAATTAAGATCTAGTTAATATTTGGGAATTGCTAAAGGATAAAATATTTGGATATAATTTTGTTGTTCAGAAATACTCCTTGGTCTAACACTGTAACAAAGCATAGTAATTTAGTAATCCTTACATTGAAATTTAATCCATTTATTTACCAAAATAGTTTTCTTCAAGGAAAGGCTCTAAACCAGGTTTATAGTTGTAGAATAAGGAGGACCTTACCTTAAAAAAGTGCAGGTAGGCCACGCATGTTCTATGGCCTGTCTGCACTTTTTAAAGGCAAGCTAGCTGCTATCCTCCTTATTCTATATTTACAAAAAATATTTATTGAAGGCTCCATTTATAAACGTCATCCAAAGTGGTTATTTACGAAATTTAAAGACACCTCATCAAAAATTAAGTAAAACAATATTTAAGTTTAAGAATACTACTATGTGTACTTCTATTAGTACTAAGTACACAGCACTAGCAGAAATCTTGGATTGTAGAATATAAACAGAAAAAAAGATACTGTAGCTTTTTGTATATAAAATATTCTTACATAATAGCTTACTTGTTTGAGTTAAAATGTGATAAGTTACTATTGTATTTAGTCTATAATGTATAACTAGTGTAATTTTGAAATACTGGAATCTAAGCACGAGTACGGTTTACCGTGTTAGGATAAATACGTTTTGATGTTGAATGTGTCAGGGGTTGTATCAACTCTAGCTTGCTGTTTGCTATTATTCCGTACTATTCTTGGTATCGAGCTGAAACATTTAGTTTGAGATTGTTTGTCATCTTATCATAGAGTCTTCAGTTTTGTATTATACTTTACCACGTTCTGCCAATAGATCACCCCTATTCTGAATAATATTGATGTTGGTTATTGACCTTGGATTGGAGTCAAAACCCCTTTTTACACATTTTACAAGTAAGTTTTGTGATTTTAATCATCTTTTGTACACCATGAAATGTTTGGGTAGTTTTTGACATACGGTACCATATTTTTACAATATCAATTAAACGGTATCAGCAACGTGACACATACTTTTTCCCATTAGCTTGTCGATAACCCTTATCATGGGCAAGCTGTGGGAGTAACTATGATATATTATGGGAAAATCGCCATTAAAAATCTAATTACAAAAAAATTAAAAAGTGCCTGGAGATATCATGGATTAGTACCCTCATACCAAATTTCATCAAAATTGGTCAATTAGACCAAAGGTGTGGTCCATAGCTCTGTATTCATCCACACAGACATCCATCACTTCCAAAATTAGGGTGACCCAAAACAGATATACCTACCCAAAACTCAAATCTCCAAAATTTTGACGTAAACAATACTTTCTCCATATGAAAATTTATGTATACGGGGAGAAAGTAAAAAATTTTTTATCAACCAAGTCATACTACAGTAAAAGCCCACTAATCTGGCATCGGGCCCCGCTAATCCGTCACCTATGTCTGGGACCAGGACCATGGTCAGAACAGTGAAAAGGTCGGATTGTCCGAGGAATATTGTAAATTTCCTAATCAATTGCTTATTGTAATTTATTTGTTTTGTGCCATCGCGGAAGACAACTTGACTTCAAGAGTCGTTCAATATTTTGCCACGATGGCGGGAGTCGACGATGATATTTCCTTTACCGCTGGAATATTCATAAGTTGCTGCTTTCGCTGATAAAAATTCTGAGGTTGCTGGAGACAATGATGATGTCCTCGTGAGTTTGGAAGATGTTTAATATTTTGCGGCGATCGCGGAAGATGTTTAAGGTGCTTCGACCGCAGGTGGTGTTTAGGATCGTGGGAGACATTCAATATTTTGTAACAATCGCGGAGGATGATGATGAAAGTTTCCGTAACCTCTGGGGATAAACAAGATTTTTTTCTCGATTGCGGGAGACCATACGACCATAGCAAATAGTCACACTATTTCTGGGATAACGTCACCAATAGGCGATGGCACAGTCAGATTAAGCGAGGAGTTGGATTAGCAAGGTTCTACTGTATTAACACGTTCGGCAGTTGGGAGCTATCAGCAGAGTCGGGAGTGATCAGCAGATGTTAGGAGCAAACCTCAGACGTCAGTTGCACTCATTAGAATTATTTTAATTTTTTTTAGCATTACTGAAATAAGACTAGCCAACGATGTTGACACTCTAAAATGAACTGTCTTTGGCTAGTCTCGCAATAACATGTGTTATTTTAAGACATCAGTAATCCGGCTTCGCTTATGCCCCGAACATGCCGGATTAGCGAGCATGTACTGTAATATGATAACTCTAATATTAGGTACTTTCATAAGTAAAAAATGGTAACTTTGAAGGGCAGAACTCTAGGAGAGTTTTATCATTTAAATAGGCCTATGTCTGTCTGTGGTCCATTGGCTCTATTCCTGTACAATTTCAGCTTAATTGGTCAGCGTGATGGCTATCGTTCAAACACACACATCCACACTTTCACTTTCATAATATTTATGTCCTAGGACGCTAGGCACGAGCCTGGGATTGTTTTTCACATTACTTCAGGCTAGACCTAGGGGTTGCGGCATTATCACTTAGATAAAATCCATTGGTGATTTGGCGGGATTTGAACCCGGGACCTCATGGACCAAAGTCCCGCACTCTAACCACATTCATAATATTAGAACGATTCAAATAGATGTTGGCTTATACGTTAGCACTTACAAATTGGTTAAATGTTGTCTCCATATTTGTTAAAGATAGACTTTTTTTCTCTTTATTAATCACTTGTACATTTTTTATTTTTAAACCAAAAACCTATTCCTGCAGTAATAATTTTTTGTTGTACTTAGATTCCTAAGGAGAGAATTACATTTTCCATTTATCTGCAAGTTTTAAACCAAACATTACACCTTCATGCCAGGCAAACACTGGCAACAGCTTCCTTCCCTTAGATAATATTCAGCATTACGGTTTTGATGTTTGCCTGGTGATTTGCACTCTCGGTTTGTTATTTCCTCTTGAGTTTATTCAATGAAGACTCCAATCCAATGCAAGGTTTATAATGAACTATATAAAGTTTTAAACTATTTATAATCCATATAAAATTTATTGATCATAAACATCAAAAGCAAGTGATACATCAGAATGTACTCTACATATCTCGTCAACTAATAAAATTTTATATTTGAAAACCATTGGTTACCAATTGATCTCTCAATTGCCTGGGAGATACCTTTGTCTTATTTTAATTTCGATACTTAAACCCCTATAAACTGTTAAGCATCTACTGGATCTTAGCACAAAATGTACTAATGTCAAGGGGGCTACACTAGGTCCCTCTGTGATTATCTGTGTAAAGTAGTGTAAGTGGTATTACAATTGTATTGCTATTTTGTATGTTGCCACCTTGTCATTTTCTGTATTTCAATATTTTAAAATGTTTTAAAACATAATTAATTTGTTTTTTATTTCAAAACCTGATTCACATTTTTATTAAGACATAATGTGGAAAGCGAAAAGGTACCTCTTGTCGGCGATGCAAAATTTTCAGTACGGCCGATATAAGTAATTAAGGTTGAAAATATCGAAATTCGGGTTTTTATAGATTGTTATACCTACCTCATTTAACATAGAACAGGACAGTATATTGGTTAAAATATTAAATTTGAGATGTAAAAGGTCGAAATAAATCATTTTGATAGCCTCTGCACGGTCTGAGAAAAGGTACCTCATGTCGCTCAATGTTATTTCGCCATAACGACAAGAGGTCCCATTTCTAATATTCACTTTATAAACAGACTTTGGTCCAAAAAATGAATTTTACTGCATTCTAGTGGAAATTTAGAGAACTACAACAAAGTTCAGTTTACAGAGAACGAGAGAACAAAATATCTCAAAAATGTTGTGGTCCCAACAAGAACATTTTTATCCTGTGTAGAAATAACATAGGGTCGACAAGAGGTCCCTTTTCTGAAATGTGATTTTTACGACATGCTTTGATTTAAGAAAAACAACACAAACATGGGTCTAAGATGCCTAGTTTTCTGTCAGTCTGTCTTCTATATATGGTTTTTACAAATGTATCCACAACTTTTGAACTCCTTTAGCTTAGACTGCAAGCTTGGTGAATCAGTAGTGACACTTAGGGCCTACCATTTCATTATCAAATTTTTAAGTTTTACCAATTCAAAATTTTCTATCTTAAAAATGAGTGATTATACTAAAAACTATTAGGGGTGTAAACCATTAGAAGGCTAGCGCCCCGTTATTATCCTTTTTAGCACCGCACATTGGAGCGAGGCGATGATTCTGTAATACACGTGGAGCACCGCAAAGCAAAGCTGCAGCCTCTGTCAGGCCTTGTAGTTGGAATACAGTTTTTCTGCACCTCGCTTGCGACTGCATTGGTTTTCTAGTGTTTTGTGAGTGAAAGACATAGTAATGGAGCATTTAATTCAGATGGCTATGTGTTGTTGAGCATTGTATTCCTTTTCGCTAATGCCACATTCAATAAAAAAATGGATATCGATCATCAAACTGTTAGTTTGTTCACACGAAAATACTCTCTAAAAGACCGGCCTGGCAGTTCAGTAGTTAAAACATACTCTCCATGGCTTAATCTTTTTTATGTAATCACATTTCCAAAAACATTTTACGTTTTTCAGTTGGCGAAAAGAGTAAAACTAAATTATTCAACTCACAATCAGACTCAGTGAAGGTAAAAAATCTTCCTCTACTCGCGAATGTAGGACCAAAGCTACATTTACCTTTACCGGTTCTTCGTCGTTGCCCAGCCGTAGCTGGATAGATTGTGTTATGAAAAATTAAAACTTTAAAACTTTGACTATATACACTATACAGGGTGATTGATATAAGTGTGCCAGCCGTTTTATTCAAAAACTATAAGAGATATAAAAAAAAGTTAAATGGTAAGTGCCTTGGATTTTTGATTTTAAAAATATGTACTGTAGTCAATATTTTAGCCGCCATTTTTCCAATATGGCCGCCAACTTTGATTTTTCTTATGGAACACCCTGTATTTTATGATGTATTCTGGTAGAAAATGTAATTTTAAGACGATTTTATTCTTGTAATTTTTTTCATATACCTAACCGTTTCAAAGATAATAATGGTTAAAGCTTTGAAATTTCTACATGAGAAAGAGTTTCGATTAAGGCCTAAGCAAGCATGCCAGCTGTTTTATTCGAAAACCATTCAAAATTTCACAACCAAATTACATTTTTTACCAGAATACATCATGAAATACAGGGTGTTCCATAAGACAAATCAAAGTTGGCGGCCATATTGGAAAAATGGGGGCTAAAATAATTTTTTTTTACTTTACTACAATTTTTAAAATAAAAAATCCAAGGCACTTACCATTTAACTTTTTTTTATATCTCTTATGGTTTTCGAATAAAACGGCTGGCACACTTATATCAATCACCCTGTATACAAGGCGGTAGATCATGATGTCCAAACTGAGTCAGGGGTTTCAAAAAATTCCCTGATGCAGTAAAGGGGCCTAGTCTTCAACTCCCTAGACTTGTGTGCTACGAACGCTTTAACTGGTAGGCCTCTGATCTCAACACTGAGACTATTATACAGCTTTGTGGCCAGAGTGGGGAAACTATTTGCAGTCTTACTGAGCCGATGGGACGGAAGGTCAAGTTGGCTTCGGTTACAAGTATTGCAGCCCTGAAGCTAAAATCATCTAAGTTTTTCTTTATGTGTACAACACTGTTGTACTGTACTGGCTGAACAATGTCATAACTCCCAGACGCATGAAAAGAGGTCTACAGTGGGCGTCAGCTTTGCTAGATGTTACAAATTCTGAGTGCCTTCTTCTGGAGTCTGAAGGATCTCCTAGAACCAGGCGCATGACCCTACAACTGCAAACCGTAGTTCAGATGACTATGGCATAGGCCATAATACACTGTCAGTAAATACTAAGAATGCTAGGAAACCTCTGTCCGCCTGCTTCAATGTGCGGTGACAAGAAAAAGTCCTTGCTCCCGCCTGCATCTAGCCTGCACCTCGCCTCGCTCCAGTGTGCGGCGGGCCCTACAGAGCCAACGCAGTTTGTAGTTGTAGCCAGCCGCCAGGCTGGCGGCTGGCTACACCCAGGGCCACAGATATACATACATGTATATCTGTAGCCCTGGGCTACACCTGTGGCGCATGCAAGCCACAACAGTGGCTGGCGGCTGGCTACACCTAGTGACTAGCGAGCCACAGTGAAAGATATCATCGTCATGTGAGGAAGAGGATATGTTGCTTCTTCTCTTACTAAGAACAATAAATCGGCGAAAGAAGAGTAGCATTGGAGTGCATCCCTTTGTATTAGGAAGGCCATCTAAAGGGGATTTTCATACTTTGATGGAATTTTACAAGACATTGAAGAAGACATCAGAAACCTCTATAGAAACTACAAGAACGCAATTTCTGCCAAGGATAGATTGGTTGGTTAGGTTAGGTTTTACTCAATCGTTAAAACGTTATTCAATTCACATATTTGTCGCTGAATTAAATATGCAGAAGACTTTACGAAGCAAAAGCAAAACAGCTCAGCTGCTAAAGAGCTATTATGTTTTCATTATCCTTTTTAAATCTATGAAAGTGTAGTGGAACGACATTAATCTGTGGTATAATAACCGCTGTAGCAACCAATATGGTCCGTTTCCGTTACCCTAGCCACAGTTGCCTACCGGTCCCATACGAATTCACGTGTTCTACTTCCAAGCGATTTATGCACGATAATAATCACATCCAATAAAGTCGTGTATGTGTTCCTAGCCTAAAGAATGGTTATGTATATATTTTATTATTATTATACAGGGTGTTCACAAAAGGTTGGGACATAATTTGCGTAGCGATCCCTTAGCTCAAAATAAAGTGAATATCAAGAATACATTTTTTTCCAAAATCACTTTGTTTTGATATCCGACATTTTGTATTTTTTACATAAACATTTTTATCTTTGAATTCTTTCAACCGATCTTTATGAAACTCGGTATGTATGTTAAGGTAGTGGAGACCCATGTTGGAAAATATGCATCTTGATTCAACTCCAAATTTTGAAATGGCGGCCATTATAATCTATTAAATTTAAATTACTAAAAATATGGTTGTTTTATCAAGAACACTTTTATTTAGTATTTTTAATTCCCTATCAAACGATACCAAGTAAAAAAAGATCGAATAAGAAATAGCTGAAATATTACAATTTGTAAAATAGGGCAAACCTGACTAGCTTCTGCCTTGTTCTACCCCATTTTACAACAACAAATCGTAATATTTCAGCTATTTCTTATTCGATTTTTTTAACTTGGTATCGTTTGATAAGGAATTAAAAATGCTAAATAAAAGTGTTTTTTGACATTTTTTCATAAAATCAGCCATTTCTTAGTAATTTAAGCTTAAAAATTCAAATGGCCATTTTCAAGTTTTAAGTTGAATTAAGTAGATTTTTCCTAACGGGTCTAATACCAAGTTTCATGAAGATCGGTTGAAAATGTCAAAAAAAAAATGTTTATGTAAAAATGCAAAATGATGGATATCTGGTTGACGAAGCGATTTTGGAAAAAATGTTCTTCTTTTCTCTTTATTTTGACACAAGGAATCACTAATCACGATGTAAATTATATCCCCAATTTTTTTTTAACTCCCTGTATCTACTGATACAGTACTGTACAGTTTTTATGTAATAAGTAGTACATTAATAAGTAATTTAATAATTTTTTATCTCGAATATGTATTTTGTGTCATCACCACAACTTATTTTGTGACTACCCTACCTTTTCAGTTTTTGTTGTTTCAATCAGGTTAGGTACGTTATTTACGTTACAACCGCTGTAGTAACCTAACCGACATAATTAACATGGTTATTTTTGACACATTGCTTATTTCACTATCTCATTCCAGTCTAACCTTTATATGTATATTTATTATTCAGCTTAAAAAAATTAACACGCACACACAATAATCGTTTTCAGAGTGATTAGTGAAGGAAAAGTTTACAAGCGTCTGAGCTTGCAGACAACTTCGAAAAAATGCGGCCGTCTGTTCGAGACCCTAAGAAGAAGAACTTTGGAATATTTTCCTTACACTTGGCTCAAAAGTTGTAGGTACAGTTTAATTCGTTTTAGCCTATCGTGTTGTGTCGCGGCGGCGAGAGTGCTGTGTGTGTGTGTGAGTCAGTCAGTCTGTGCTAGGTAGCGTTCCTGTGTGGACGAGTGTATAGTGGTGCATGTGTTCGCAACAATGTTTACTCAGCTCGTGGCAGCAACTATTGTGATCCTCGCTATTCCAGTTATTCCTCTCATTACTGGTAAATCAAATATATTTGAATATACTCTAACTTTAAAACATCTAAGAAGAATATAATAAGGGGTTCGCGTAGTTTAATTAAGATATTGTATTAGGCCCTATAGTGTTTAAATTCTCTTTAAGGGCGTTATGAATTCTGGTATTTTAATTATGTGTTTGCGCAAATACGTGATTTAATAGTTTATTGACATTTGCGTGCACTAATGAGAAATGGAAGTTGTTAATTTTTATCTCTGTAATGCAAAATACGCGGCTAATATTTAACTCATTGATGATTTAATAAAGAGAAATGTTCTAGAGGAAGATTTTTAAAACGTTTGGTTTAATTAGTGTAATAAAAGTATATGTTGACGATTTTATTATTAATCTAATATATTCGAGTTCATTGAAAGCTGTAAAAGAAACTGTCATTGCATATTGGCAAATTTTTATTTGAAGTTCATTTTTAAGTTCAATTATATTGAATAACCTGTGTATTCCAATTTACATAGTATAAATATAACCAAGTGATATGGAATTACACGCTATATTTCATAACATCTAAAATATTCCAACCATTTGATTGATATTATCATTGAACCCAAACCATTCAAAACATTATTAATTTTCATGTTTTTATGTTTACGATTAGGTGAGCAACACATAAAATCGTTGTCATTTTAACATTATAACACTGTACACTGTTCATATGTTTAAACCCTTAAAAGTAACTGTCGCAATGTTTTGGTTGGAAAAACGTGTTTCGAATGTAAGTAATATAATATAGAAAATAAATTTAAACAACATAATAAAAATGTAACAAAATTAAACAACAAATTCAACATTTAATACTCATAATTTTTGTCCGTCGAACATTCTTCATTAAAACTTTAATGTGATTATTAAACATCGTGAGGTTTAACATCGTGGTGTAACCTATAATACAACGTGACTATGTGCTATGTAGCTCCACAGTAGATGTGTCATGCACAGCTGACACTGTTTATTTACTCAGCCAAATGCAAACCTCAATTAAACCTTAGTTCTTATCTACCTAGAATCTAATATCAACGAATTATCTCCAAGTTTGATTCATATGTTTTCTCTTACAATGTTGTGACGAATTTAAATTATCTTCGCATTACACAGGCTTATCGTAACGTACCAACGTAAGTATTTAAAAGATTGTAACAGTGACAGGTTATTAACGTTAATATAAATTAACGTCAAAATTCATTAATTACTCTTTGTGGAAGGTTTAAGGTATTATTTTTAGGATTGTAATGATAGTACTATTTATCTATAATTGCGTTTAAAATTATTTACACTATTAATTATTTTTATTATTCATAGAAAGCATTGATATCTGCTGAGCCTCCAAATCTGAATTAAATCAATTTTCACTAATATATGCAATACATGGATTAAAAATCAAATATAAATAAACACAAGCAACCGTTATACTTATGTTGAATCTTTCGACAAAATAAAAAAATAAACTAAAAAACTAAAAAAATTACATAAATTAAAAATAAAATTTTAATGAACAAATAACGCCCATTTTATGGTTTTTTATTGGGTAATGTCTATTGGTGTGTAAAGGGGGTTTAAAGATTAAGATATATTTACATTTGGGATAAAATGGACTTTTTAAGTGTTTTGACTTCACCCTTAGCGTAGCGTATGAAAAGTCAATTTTATCCAACATAAAACAAATTATCCTTTGCAATTCTGAACTTTGATATGTTATGGTACAAAGTGACTATTTTCGACACAAGCTCAAGTTTAACGGAAAATGAACGAAGATCGCAGCGAAACTTTGAGCCCTTATGATGAACAATATTTTTTGTCATGTAATGCACAAATATTCTGGCTGACTGACTTTTTACGTACAAGTTTTCAAAATAACTTCCATGTTGTTTCCAGTATTGCTATCATAAATAAACAACTAATTGCTGACGTATTCAGTTATTTGGTCTGTAACTATTGACCATAGCTATCGCTATTAAGACTTTATATTGCTTTTAAAACATATTTTCAACCACTTTTCACTTCAAAGCAAGATTGGTATTTGGATTAACTTATAATTTAAATCAAAGGTTTGTATTTGATTGTTGTTGGTTAATTAGTTTTAAAAACGTGCATGTTAATCGTGACAAATACTCTGCAATAAACTAGTAATTTGCATTCCTAATGTTAAACTGTTCAATTGTAGGTGCACGCGAGATATTATGTTATTCTATTAAAGTTTTGTATTATTTTTTGTAACATCCGAAGAATGGTTGATTTATATTTTCAAAAATTACCGAACATTTATCTTAAAATCCAAAGAAAGTATCTTTCTGGATTTGATTTAAATAGATTCATTTTAATGAATTCCGCAGTTCACCTAAACACCACTCAAATGGTCAACCCATGTATTGATTGCTAAAGCTATCTGGGATCATCTTCGCCGTGTACATATTTTCCCCAAGAGGCGAATATAATATTATTTTTATCCTTCATGCTGATGATAAACTTTCTTTGATTTCTTGGAATGTTTGCGATATAAACTAATTTCCACTGTAATAAAATCCAAAGTAAACTAATCAAAATCCAGTCGACAAATATGAAACAACAACGTACAATCGATACAAAATCGATACTCGCTCGACAGTTCGATTACTTACAATCGAAGTTTACAAGAGAGAAAATGTACAGCATGTTTCATCATACCGCAGTACAAACTGATGTTTTCAATACATCCGTTGCTGATCTTAACCCTAGGGCAAAAAAGAATCGGTTGGAGTCGACAAGACAAACTGTACACTTTCATAGTAAATTTGTCCTCCTTGCAGAAAAAACTAGTCCTGGTAAACAAATACATTATCGTATTATTATTAACATTTGTTTGTGTGTTACCATCGTGTTAAATTGTATATTTCACTACAAATGTCTCCCTTTATCGAGATTCAGATCTAGTAAAACATGAAATTGTAGCAATATAACATGAATTTGTTATTTGTTATCGGATTAATATACATAACAGCAAAACAAAAAGGAAACAAGTTTTGGAGCTAATTTATATGGGCAAGCAAAGAAATGTATGTTTTGATTATCATTGCTTAGAGAGAGGTGCAGTATCACACGGGTAAAAGTGTCTGTTCCACCCTAGCTGGACCAAGAGTCCCGCCTACCCTACCTCAAACATCAATGTTTTAGAAAACTAAAACATAACGTTATTACCATATACGTTATTATATTATCATATCATATTATATTATATTATATTATATAATATAATATAATATAATATAATATAATATAATATAATATAATATAATATAATATAATATAATATAATATAATATAATATAATATAATATAATATAATATAATATTATATTATATTATAATATAATATAATATAATATATTATCATATCATATCATATCATATCATATCATATTATATTATATTATATTATATTATATTATATTATTATATATTATTAACATATACGTTAATTTATCGTAGATTTAAGGAAAACCTTGGTTTAAATTGCCAACACGAATAATAATTTAAAGTACTGCATCAAAAAAGGTAGTTGATCACAAATTAAATACACATTTCTAATATCACATTTCTTATTTGTCGATTACATCAAGGGGAGAATAGCTGATGGTTTGGACGTCCGCCCCTGGAACGTTATGTAACAGAACTATCGTCTTTACAGTTTTTAATTTCGACGTAAGGGAATCTATGGTTTTTTACCAACTGTTACCCGACGCGCGTTGCTGCGCTTAACAACTATTATTTTAAATGGCAATTCGTTGATCACGATAAATAATATAAAATAAATACCAAAAACAAAAGTAAAATATTTATTTTACTTTAATGCCAGTGGATAAACAATGTTTTTGTTTTTTCATTAGGTGTCTAAAATATATAAGTTGTTAGGCGTACCAACAAGTATATTTATTTTCCAAATTTATATTTTGCCTCAACATGGCGGATCACCTACACACACAATTGCCGATAGATAACACAACCATCTCTCTACCTTGGATGGTTCACGGAAGGTCCTGGGATCCTCTCCACCGGAAGTTCTAATTGTGGTCGTCTTGTCGGTTTCCCACCAGTTTTCCGCTACCGGAAAACTCCTCCAACCTTCGCGCTGGCGCGGGTTTTAACATGGTTAGTGGTTCCGAGGAAGAATTCAATTTTTAATGAACCAAATACAGGTAAACGTAAGCTTTATGACTACAATAATATAGCATTTTAAGGATTCTTACTTCCAAATAAATTGAAAAGGTCAAAAGTTCCAAATATATTTTACTTAAGAGCTACAGAACCAAACATTAATATAATAATACCTCATTTGCCTCGTCATGTAATCTAATTAATCAATTTGGATAGTGACGAGGTAAATAAGGAACCATTATTACATCAGTGGGTACAGTAATCCTGGGCCATCAACGTGGATTTAAATAGAAAAGAAACTGTCAAAGTTTAGATCCAATGAATTGTAAATCCAGACTTCAATTAATTCTTAAGTAAAACCACATAATGGTTGGTATTTTAAAATATACAGGGTGTCCCGCTACTCTCCATCAATATTTTAGGGCATTGTTCCTGGGTAAAAACATATCTAAATAGCATATTTAAATTGTCCGGAAGTCCTTAGTTACTCACACAGCCACCATTTTGTTTTTTCACTCATTAGTTTTTTTCTAAAAAATGGTTAAACGTACGAAATTTAAACTTAAAAGAAACATTCATGACAACTAGACAAAACTACGAAAACATTATGACAATTTTCCAAATTCATAATACAAAATGGGCCATTCACAATTTTGTTTCTTAAATAACTAAAAACCATTGATTTTACAAAAAATTGATTTAATGGCCGCCATTATGTTTTATGAATTTGGAAAATGTTCATAATATTTTTGTTGCTTTGTCTAGTTGTCCTAAATGTTTCCGCACAGTTTCAATTTCGTATGTTTATCCATACAAAAATCAAAAAGTGAAAATAACAAA